GATGTATTGTAATCGTGCACAAAAATCACATGAAATTTTGAGTTTTCATCGTTTTACACCTCAGTACTTCATCATATACGAAGTATAGGAGACTTATTGCAATCGGGGAAAAAAAAATGCAGATTTATCAAAATTTCGGTGTTCTACGCGTAATCGAGTCGGAAAAACTGGACTTTTCAATTCTGTCCGTATGTCTGTGTGTGTGTATGTGTGTATGTCTGTGAACACGATAACTTGAGTACCGTTACAGCTTGGCTGATGAAATTTCATATACAAGTATTATATCAAATGTGTAGTTCTGTAAAAACTTTTCAGCGATTTCCGGTAAACGGAAGTGGAACTTATTCTACTTTTCAAAACCAAATAACTTGATCACTGTTTCAAATAGATAAACGAAATTTCACATGTAAGTAAACGATCTAATTCTCTGTCTTCTGTTTACGCTATTTAGCGATTCCTCCAAAAAATGAATGTGAATTTATAAAGTACTAATAATACACAGATTGTTTACTGATACTCTAGCAGAGCTGACCTCAATGATACTCTAGCAGACTTCATTGATACTCTATCGTATCTCAATGATACTCTAGTCTAGTAGACTTCAATGATACTCTAGCAGACTTCATTGATACTCTAGCGTATCTCAATGATACTCTAGTCTAGTAGACTTCAATGATACTCTAGCGTATCTCAATGATACTCTAGCATAGCAGACCACAATGATACTCTAGCCTAGCAGATCTCAATGATACTCTAGCAGACCACAATGATACTCTAGCAGACCACAATGATACTCTAGCGTATCTCAATGATACTCTAGCCTAGCAGATCTCATCAGCCTATGTGTTGTTTCAAGGGTTAAACAAACATATTCGTCAAACTTGGCCAACAAATGGAGTTAACAGCTCGTGTATGAGTCACTTCAGTCCCCCCTTCATCAATATTTGCCCATTGTTGAGTGTCTGGGTACTATCGGACTCTCCCTTACAAACTCCGAGCCTAGCGTAAAGTTACCTACAAAGTGGGATCCTGCTAAATAAGACGGTTTTTAAAAATGTCGTATGTTTTTAGTTCAAATAAAGTGTGTATGCCTACTCGGTTACAAATTACAAGTAAATAGATTGTATTTTGTTTAAAAATAAAACTTAGAGTAGGTAGGGCCTACATATTTTAAAAACTCGGAAAACTCTGGATCCGTGGAGTAGACCTAACCGATTGTTCAAAAATCCAGTTTTAATATTTTAGTATTTTTATTTTTTGTAATGTGCATTGTGGAAATTGAACAGCAAATTTCCGTCTTCGTAGTTATAAAAATAAAATTATGTAAACAAAAATTAAATTGAATTTTCAGAAAATATACCAATATGATTTCACCAATTAAATTATTTCTACACAACTTCGGTTTCACCAATTACTGAATTAGATTAATACTGTACATTTTAAATAAAAGAATCCTATTCTCCGGAGCATGATTAAAATTTAAAGAAACTGGATCAACAAAAGTTTTTTGACAGAGAGCCTGGGTTTATGACATCTACAAAATGTATGAGTTAAATAAAATTTAATTCAACAGCTGTAAAATAATAGGTCGTCTATGTATTTGCATATCAGCTCAATTTAAAATTACATTACATTTCACCATCTGCTAATTATACATTCGACATTAAAAAAATGTGCTACGACTGGTAAAGTTGAAAGAATTGACTTGATGACGAGAACTCCTTAACTATCAGGACACTGGGGGAGTGAGTCAACAATCCTCCAATCATTCCCGTCATGCTCAACAATCTTTTCTCTGCCCGCTGCTCGACGTCCCAAAACTTCACAACTTGCCGCAGACGACTGGCCGAGTTTACCGACCGCGCATGTTTGTGAGACGTGCGCAACTCGACGTTTGCGCACTAGCTCGAAGGAAACAAAAGAGAAATTGAGATTAACATGGAAATTCTTGTGGGCGGGCAAAACGCTGATCGGTAATTAGGCACGCTGGGATCTTCAAGTCGGGCAAACAACAATTTCTGGCCAGTCTAAGACCCCAAGTTAAACAACACTCGGCGGAAACTAGAAGTCTGTAATGGAATGTTGGCGGAAAATTCATTCACGTTTAGACTTCATTGATAGGCGTGTTTTGTCGTCTTTTGGGTTTTCCCCCAAGACAATCCGCTACCGACCATATATCGCTAGCGGTGTCTTGTGAGTGTATGTGGTACATACACAGGCAGCAGACGTAATGTAAAGTCTGCTAAATTCTTTAAGTCTCTAGATCCAGCTAGTGGACATTATGTGCAGGGAGGGGTCGGGATGAGAATCTAGAATGACCGCTGCTTCACGCAATTGTAAACGTTTATTTTTTTTAAGAATCAAGCACACAATTGATGGCTTAGGGTAGCGGGGCTGGGTATGGCGGGATGGGCTTACTGCCGATGTTATATTTTCTATATAAATCTGAAGCGGATTATAAACACTACTATCTTGAGGTCAAACCTCAATCTAGATCTAGATACGGCAATATCGAGAAAGGGAAATTATGTATTGCGAATGTGGCTAACGGATAAGTAAAGGTTAAGAATTAAAAAAAAAACACTAAGAGATTTTCGAGAGGTAAAAGATTGTTTGAATAATTGACTATAGGAGACACTGTAGAAACTGAGCGAAATAGAATTTTTAAAATGTAAAGACCAATACAATTAGTTTGAGAAAACAAACTTATCGAGCTGGGTGTAGAGGAGACTCACTTTTCTTGCACGTCCCCACCGGCTCGTTGTGTAGTGTGAGGGAGCTGGAGATGATGGTCTTAGAGGTCAGCACGCAGTCAAGGTCACGGTCACATTTACCGCGGTATGCCAGGTCGCCTCCACACTCCTCACCTTCTTGTTTGGCACATACGGGACAGCATCCACATACACCTGTGGTGATAACAAAAGTTGACAACATCCACATACACCTGGGGGATAACAAAAGATGACAACATCCACATACAGCTGTGGTGATAACAAAAGTTGACATTTGTGGACAACATCCACATACACCTGTGGTGATAACAAAAGTTGACAACATCCACATACACCTGGGGGATAACAAAAGATGACAACATCCACATACAGCTGTGGTGATAACAAAAGTTGACATTTGTGGACAACATCCACATACACATGTGGTGATAACAAAAGTTGACAACATCCACATACACCTGGGGGATAACAAAAGATGACAACATCCACATACAGCTGTGGTGATAACAAAAGTTGACATTTGTGGACAACATCCACATACACATGTGGTGATAACAAAAGTTGACAACATCCACATACAGCTGTGGTGATAACAAAAGTTGACATTTGTGGACAACATCCACATACACATGTGGTGATAACAAAAGTTGACAACATCCACATACAGCTGTGGTGATAACAAAAGTTGACAACATCCACATACACCTGGGGGATAACAAAAGATGACAACATCCACATACAGCTGTGGTGATAACAAAAGTTGACATTTGTGGACAACATCCACATACACATGTGGTGATAACAAAAGTTGACAACATCCACATACAGCTGTGGTGATAACAAAAGTTGACATTTGTGGACAACATCCACATACACATGTGGTGATAACAAAAGTTGACAACATCCACATACAGCTGTGGTGATAACAAAAGTTGACATTTGTGGACAACATCCACATACACATGTGGTGATAACAAAAGTTGACAACATCCACATACAGCTGTGGTGATAACAAAAGTTGACATTTGTGGACAACATCCACATACACCTGTGGTGATAAAAATTTTAACATTTCTGGAATTTGGGCATATCACCTACAGGACACAAAAGGACAACATTAACATCTATATTCATAGAATGTATGTATGTCACATAGAAATCAGTGGCATAGGATATGTGTATGACACATACAGGCCTGTTATGTGTACGTCTGATAGACCTATAGAACATCTTTAGTAACCATCGTGGAATGTATTCAGCTTCCACTTATCACATATTGTCTATGTCACTAAAAATTAATACCTTTTATTATCAGAGTTTCTTCCAGGCATCCAGGCATCCTATTTTGTTCGATGTGGGCGGGGGGAGGGTGTAGACATTTTCAAAGGGGACTCTCCCCCCCCCCCCCTTCCACCAAACAAAGTAGGATTTATATAGAAACTATATATACTTTTATCAGTGTCTCCGCCCCCCCCCCGGAAATTTTAGTCCGCCCCCAAAAATTTCAAGTGATTTTTCAAATTTCACATGTGGTGACGTAAAAACACTGATCCATGACGTAACAAACACCGACCCATGACGTAACACTGACTTCTGGGCACGTAACAAATACTGACCCATAACGTAACAAACAATGACGTGTTGTGAGGTAAAACTGTACTGCTGACCTGTGGTGACGTAACAAATAAAAACCCATGACGTAACACACACTGACGTGTAGTGAGGTAAAACTACTGACCTGTGGTGACGCCGCCCTTACAGTTTAACCTAGACGCCCGCCTAGGTGAGCAGTGCAGCCTGTGACAGGGTGGACAGTGTATGCTGAAGGCCACGTCCCACACCACCGTCCACGCCATCAGCCGCAGGACCAGGGTCGATGACGTGCTCGACTGGACCCAGGGGGTCCCTGACACCAACATAGTTCACAGGTCTCGCACGTTCTCCAACAAGCACGAGAAAACACGAGATTTGAGCAGCACTATTTGATATACTTGTGAAATAAATACATCCGAATCACACAAATAAACACATTCATGTCGAGCAATTCCTTTGAAACTTAATAATATTCTTGGTTAATTTTCAAATCACACTATTTAGACCAGTATATATATATTGTCTTTATTATGAAAATATCTTCAAAAGTGTGTCGTTATCCAGTGAATCAGTTTTGAGCAGTTAAAAATCTTTCTCCCAACACATCCTGAATAGATCACATGGAATTGATCACAATCCCGCAGTTAAAGGAAATGACGAAATAATGTTTCTCCAGACTTGGGCCAGACGACATTGATTTCTCGCACTTTGTAACACACTTCCGCCCTAGCCCCGTCACGCCCTCTTCTTAACATGGCGAAATAGCCTCTAAACAAAGACACAATTTGTCAGCCAAAATTACTAACACTAGTTCCACCCTTAAGCACAAATACTAGTCTTCTACTCTGTCTTCGATTCTTTGAAGAATGAAAAACAATGCTAAGGAATCTAAACTACTGACGTAAGATTGTTTCTCCCAATAATCTCAAACAGATCTACGAGCCAATTCGATCTTTGGAACGTGCATGTTTTTTTTACGGCAGAACTAACATTCAATGACTGTCCAATTAAATTTTTTGGTACAATAAATGTAGATGTGCTTATTGCCAAAAAGACGAGAGGTTACTTGTTACGAAAATAAATTCAATAAAATATCAAGTTCTAGACTTGATATTTCAAGACTGTGCACAGTAAACAAAAGCAATCATTTTTCTCCACGCACGTCACTACAGCAGTATTTTGTAGACCAACAAAATATAACCCTGGTTTCAAAGATATTTATCTTCTTAGAGTTCGCTGTCAGGTTTAAAAAGTGATTCACGTCTCCCCCCTAAAACAAAGGATTACTGAAGGTAATCTAATCACACGCCACTTGTGAGCGCTTCTACCCTTTTTGTGATAGGTGAGTTTCATTCACTGGGTACGGGTAACTGAATAGAGTATGGGGTCGTTGATGGGGGTAGGGTAACACCAAATAAAATGGGGTTCTAGAGGGGGGTGGGGTCGGGAAACAGCAAACACAAGGGGTTCAGCGAGGGGTTCGGGAAACAGCAAACATGAAACAAAATGCGATTCGGAACGGGGGGAGTAAAGTCAAAGCTATTGCGTTCTTTTTACTATCAATGTTTACAATGTCTTAAGGTTTAAAGTCAACAAATCCCCTTTATATATATATATATACATACATATATATATATATATATATATATATATATATATATATATATATATATATATATATATATATATATGTGTGTGTGTGTATGAAACGGGAACAATTACAAATACATCTCCCTCTCAAGTTAAAATCTTGCCACTGGAAGGGCGGGTGGGGGCGAATACGGGCTATTTTTAAAAGTGAAAATTCCCAAATGTGATTCTTTCCAGCTCCCTGTAAAACTCGACTTATCAGCGCATTAAAAACTGTATCGTGATTTTAGCAACAGCTTTACAGTTGACGAAACAAAATACATTTGCTAGTTGGTCGTTAGCCAGAACTGTGACGAAGTAGGTTACACAAAAACAATAACCAAGAATTCTAAGACGCATTTCGATAACGAAACTTGAGTTCGTAAAACGAGGACCACATACAGTCCCACCTAGGCCTACTCATCAGTGTGTGGAAGTGTTGTAAAAAACTTGAACTTTTTTGTTTAGGAAACAAAAGCTTTAGTCATAACTCAAAAACCGATCTTAGTATGTATAGTATGTTAAACAAAAGTAACTTACTAAAAGAAATATTTAACTTTACAGAAACAAAATTTGATATCGAGTTTCATTGAGCCAGACGGCGACTGCTCTCCCTTACATATTTCATTAAACTATGTGTAACTCTAGCGCCAGGAAAAACAAACCCAACCCCCGTGAAATAAATCTAGATACGCGGGGGTGTTTCGTTTTTTCCACCTGAATTTCACCCAAGTTGATTTTTTTTTAAATAGTTTTTTTCAAGACAGATATACGGGCCCTACCTTAAATTAAATTTCGAGGTATTTCTTGCAAGAGTAGAAAAAAAATATTTCGCGAATTTTAATTTTTAAATGGAAAATTCAAAAAATTAAAATGTATGTTCATTGATTACGATTATTAAAACCTAACAATAGATATAAAATTTAGAAGGAAAAAAAACACGTGCATGTTATTCTGATTGTTTAATTAATAATGTGCAGTTGGTGTATAAAAAGTTGTATAATCAAATATGTCTTAGAATTCAAACTGCTTTATTTGTTTATTCGTCGTGTATTTCATAGTTTTTTAAAAACATAATTATGTGGTATTTTTACTACTGTTAAATTGCTACTTATTTTTTCTTTTTTTTAAAAATAATTGCATTATTAACTTTTTAAAAAATCAAACATAGTTACTTAAACTATTTTATACCAATTAACGACTTGTGGCAGACGATAGTAGCTGTATATGACACGACTGGCCGCTAAATGTCAGCATAAGTACCTGCTTTATTCTGTCCATTCAAACTAACGTGTAGCGAGCGTGCTATACAGCGTAATTTTAAAGTTCATCTAGTCTATGTGTTTTAATATTTTTTGGGTCGGTATTTAAAGCTATTTGATTGCATGTGGCGAAATACATGTTTTATCTCACCACGTATATATATATATATATATATATATATATATATATATATATATATATATATATATATATATATATATATATTCGCACATACATCTGTATAAATAAATATTGATTAGAGATGAGGTCAGCTTGATTGCAACCCAAGCACGCTATAACACAATTTGTAAAACATAATTAAAGTTAGGCTTAGGCGAGGTACATCAATTAAAGATATTCTTTATTTGTGTGTGTGCGATTTCTAAGTACAGAAACAAACCATGTCACATTAGTCACGAAATTTGTTGAACGCTACTTTAAAAGCTTTGACTATTTTCTTTTAAAACACTAACACTTGAAAAATTGAACTGCAATACACTTCATACAGCTAGTCCACACCCCGATCCGCCGCATGAAGAACTGCGCAAATCCCGCCAATAAACAGTTTCACACTGTCAGCGTGAACTCCTGGAGATCGGGACATCAAAGCCGAGAAACGCGCCGCCCTGCGTCTGGTGAGTGGGCCCACCTTGAGCTGGGGGTGGGTCATTTCATTGGCGCATTCTGTCGACTCTCTTCTGTCATTCTCGCTCCCTGCCCCCTCCTGCCGGTGGCACTACCGCACATCGAGGTCCAGGTGGGGGCTTTAGAGCCGCTATCAGCAGGAGATATTGGGGAGATTGTGTGCGATTGGGGACGGCAGTCAAGTGCAGTATACATTTCTTACCTTGTCACTCAAATAGATATATTCTTGTTAATGACAGTATATATAGGGCCTTGTATATATATATATATATATATATATATATATATATATATATATATATATATATTATGAAAGAAGAAGAGATATAGACATACGTTTTTCTATCTATTATATAAATGGGATGAACCAAATCCAACATCCCCGCCTTAAATTAATAATTAATTTTAATTAAAGCATTTCAGACCATGATTTTAATTAATTAGTCAGGCCAGAATTTTGTTTTCAATTATATATATATAGACCTACATATATATATATATATATATATATATATATATATATATATATATATATATATATTGTTTTCAATTATATATATATAGACCTACATATATATATATATATATATATATATATATATATATATATATATATATATATATATATATATATATATATGTATATATATATATATATATATATATATATATATATATATATATATATATATATATATATATATATATATATATATATATATATATATATATATATATGTATATATATATATATATATATATATATATATAAATATATATATATATATATATATATATATATATATATATATATATATATATTTATATGTTTTATATACAAGTTTTATTTGTAAGTGCTTAAAATTAACCACCTGAGTTTACGTGGGTCATTTATGTATATGTAGGTTTATAGACAGACAAACTTTGAACGCAGTCTAGAGATGGGTCATCTGTATTCATAAAGGGCTGTGTACACATAGGTCTATAATCTGGTACACAATGATATGAGGTGGACTGTGTACATAAATATGTAAAGATGGGCTGTGTACACATGGGTATATAATCTGGTACACAATGATATAACGATGGGCTGTATACACACGGGTATAAAGGTGGACTGTGTAAAGATGGATTGTGTACATATTGGTCTTGAATCTGTGTACACAATTCCTATGGATGGGCAATCTGTGTTCAAAAAGGTCTTCGGGGTCATCCATAAATGACGTCACGCTTTTTTGACGATTTTTACCTCCCCCCCTCCCCTCCGTCACACGTCGTCACAAAAAGCCAGACCCCCCCCCTAAAATGACGTCACACCTCAACCTACAACCCCCTTCAAAATTGCAGTTGAATTTTTTTAAAACATCGATATTTTTCTAAAATCTTGTCTAAACTATTACAATTTATTAAAACATCTAAAACGCAAAATAACGTCTAAAATTCGTTTTCTAACATTGCTTTTTTATAATTCAAAAATGTGACGTCGCAACATCTGAACCCCCCCCTCCCCCTCATCACACATCGTCACAAAATTACGGACCCCCCCCCCCCCTCCACCGTACGAGTGTGACGTCATTTATGGATGACCCCTTATAGAGACGGGCAATCATTGTACAAGTGAATATAAGTACTGGCCAACTGTTTACACAAATAGAGGCCAATGGCGTACACAATGTTTAGAGAGGAGTCACCGGTGTACACGTGGGTCAAGAGAGTGTACAAGTCACGAAGAGTTGAAGTCACTAGCGTGACAATATGACCCTATAGCGTCATCCAGTTTTCAGCAGTAGAAAAGTCACGGCGCGCGTACTTAAGTGCCGGCGAACAGGGGAGAGAATCCTGGAGATTTCCTCAACTTTGAAATGATCTCTAGCCCAAGTTTCTTTGTGGCATTTATACGTGGTGGCGCCAAGCAATAAACCCAGGAATAGGCTGGAATTGAAAGTGGTTGTCTTGCTGTTCTAACTGGCATTCGCCTGGAGGAAACGAGAACTGCGTGGGGCTGATTTTTTATTTATTTATTAAAAGCGAGATCAATTAGGAAAATAAACATAACTAAAATCTCCTCGCCTAAAGTTAAGATTCTGGGAGATCCAGTTCATGAACATATATTTTACCTGTTCAAAATACCACACAGCTATATTGTTTATATTTTTTATTTGGAAGATGTCTAAATTTTTAAAAAACTAGTTATTAATTTTTGTTTTAATGGACTAACAGTGAAGTTTTTAAAACTAAAAAAAAAAAAAATTCGGTTTCGTCGTCTGCTATTATCAAGATGTACAAATATTTGTAACTAAAAGTAGATGGTTAGCGGGGAAAGGGGGAAACACGATTTCTTCAATTACAGCGTGGCAGAAGTGGATTAGCCGGCAGACGTTTGGTGGGGGGGGGGGGGTGGATTCCCTGGCAGACGGACCAGGCACGTGCACACTGGGCCTAAGTGGTTGGAGGTAAATTGTAATTATTGTTAGATTAGGGGAGATAGAAGCCTTTAATTCACCACTCATACCACAGGACAGGGCTATTGTAAACTGTCGCTGAAATGTCAGACTATCGAGAAATGTATCGGTCTTTAGAAGTATGGGGAACTACGTGGTTAAACATTAAAATCATGACTTAATGAGGCAGTATTTAGGCGTACACAACATAAAAAATAATGAAATAAGTAATCATTATTTAAATATAAGCGTTTTAACATACAAAGTAATTAAAAGATGCAAACGCCCTTCTTAATATTTGTGCTTACGTGTGATTAGTAGACGATAGACAGCCTAAATAATTTATGATGAATCGATGCTTATGAATTTAAAAGTTGACATAAAAAAATTATCAATGAATCAATCTTTATTATTTTCAAGTTTTTACAAACTGAAATATATCTTCTATTATGTACTAACGTACCCATCGCGCTTGACCTACACACCAGAGTAGCGAAACATTTTATAACGAGCTGACCCGCGCCGTAAGCATACGCCGCTATTTGGTTGTTTTATTTGCTACTTTTCAGTAATTCATAATTTGTGAATTCGACGCTACACTCCCTTTGGGGTGAACCACAGCTCACCAGACTGGTGGGGTGGTGTAATAGCGATATGCCTAGAGAGCGGGGTAGGAACGGCTAAGCCCTTACGTGGTGGTGTCTCGCATGGTCCCCACGTAGAGAATTATATATACAGATGGTTTATTAATACATTACCAATCGTGTTTTTAATGTGTGAGATCTTGTTTTCTAAATCACAGTTATATTTCTTAGATCTTGAGTTTGTTGTTAGGACGCGGGCTTGTCCACACTAACGCCCCTAGGCTGTATGAAAGCCTTGAGTGTACGTCAATTACCCTCTGTAAGAGAGATAAAATAATTCTCGGCGACCGTCAGTGCGTCCTCGGGAGCCGCCGGCTACTCCACCACTAGGGCGTCCCCTGGTTCTGTTTAGACATTATATATTTAGCAGCCCACCTTGTCCCTATAGTAAAACAAATATGGACGCCATCTTGCTATGAGGGAAGCCCCGGGTTACACAACCGCAGGTTTCCCCTGTTGCAGTTTGACAGGTGGCTAAAATAGTACCTGCAGGACGCCCAATATAGCCGGCGGGGAAATTGGGGGGGGGGGGGGGCGGGGGCGGTCGCCCATCTGAACTTTTTTTTGTGCAGAAACATTCCCAGGAGTATTCCCGACAACTTTCCATAGTTTCATGGTGTAGCAATAGATTAAAGTAAAAATATACTTTCATATACATATATTACTTGCTGCCCACTGCATTGAACAATGTGAATAGTAGCTAGCACTTACTGCAATAGTGAGATTAGAGAAATACTAGGCTGGGCTTACAAACACAGGCATGTGAGATGTGATTTGTTGTAGAGGTGATGAATATCCTGACAGACATTAGATTTAGGTATTTCTTGCCTTGCACTCTCAAAATAACATTTTGCTGAAGTTAACTTGCTAAGAAGTTTGTCAGTTAAACCATTTAACACACAGTAGTATTTCTAGCAGGTGTCATGTTGTAAAGAGGCTAACAGTCAAAACATATGCAGCACCATAAAAGTAGTAATATTTTACTTCTTGTAAAGAATACCATCGCTCCAGTCTACAATTTCTTTAAGATCATACAGTGCAAAGGGAGAGAAATGTGAAATAATTCTTAAAATTGGAAGTGAGAAGTTACTGCATAATACAGCTCAAGTAAGAGCAGTAGACATTTCAGTTTGCACCAGTGACAATATATATTTATCTGTCCAGCTGTATCATGTAATCAAAAGCAGACCAACACTTAATTTAAAGACGGTAAATTATTCATTTTCTCAACTGATCAGGTACACATTAGGTAAGGCAGTGATGTCTATCAGGTATCACAGAGCTATCTATTCTAAGGTAAAGCAGTCACGTCTATTAAGTATGTGTGGATGGCTACCTGTTAGCTGCAATCATAAGTGTAAGATCTCACACACATTACTAATAAAAAAAAAACCCAAACAACTCAAGTTTAGAAACAAATGATGTATTAACACAAAGAAAAAAACATTGTTATAAAAGCCTATTCACAAAACACCATCCACACAGCTTAATGTTTAATACCTCGCATCTCCAATCATTCCACTAAACAAACAAAACTCAAAGTTAAAATATTAAATTTAACAAGCTCATTTGTCACTCTTTTCTGAAAAATAAAAAACAATATTTATTAAAATGTGATAGAGAAATTAGGTAGGATTCTTTAATAACTTTAGATTTGATACCTCTTGATATTGGCAATGAAACATAAATTAAAAATAAAGATGCCTACCCAAGTGTTTAAGAACATTAATTACTTAAATTAGTAAAACAATGAATACATTGTCTATTTTAAACTTCTCAGTCTCAGACTTTGTATACAAATTATAGTTGAAGTATGTGAGACTAGTGAACAGAATGAGATGATGAGAGCCAAACAAAACCTACCAGCTTTTTTCCTGTCTGCCTCTTTCTTCTTCTCTGCTTCCAGCCTCGCCTCCTCCTCTTCGTATTTTTTAATGTGAACGTTCACCTCACTTTCTGGCAAAATGCGCATCACAGTTTTATTGTCTTTTCTTGTCAATGTAGCGATCTCCACTGTTGTAAAAATATTCATGATACATTAACATCACTAGAACATGATACATCTGATGGATGAATATTAGTAAATCTTATCTACACATGAATCAAAAGTGATAACACTTTAAAACTGTTTAAAAACTACAAGTTTACACCAAAGACAATTATTTTATGTTAATATTCTAAACAAAAATTTCAGTTTGTGTTTTATAAAAAGAAATAGTTTCAGGTTTTAAAAAGTTTGTACCTTTATCTGCAGTAAGTTTAGTCAAGTCTAGTGTTTTACTGAGTACTTTGATGGAGAGATCTAGGGCTGAGTTCAGTGAAAAGTTATCTTCATCTTTGTACTCTTGCTTGAGTAATGAGATTGCATTCTGTAAACAATACAACATGTGTACACAATAAGACAATTCAGTTCTGAAAATAGCATTACAATGGTTATTATAGGATAAAAGTGCCATTGCTATAGTCGTAAGACAAATATTCAGTATAGATAAGCTTAAAAATTTTTTTTTTAGTTCTTACACTAAATTGATAGATGTTTTGCTATAGCCACAAACCTAATAGCCAGGTTATATCATACATGGTTAATGACTTACAGCACTGTTGTTTCCTATACAGGTTGCCTTCCAGCCCCCATAGTTCCCACTAGGATCACTCTGATACAGCTGAAAGCCGTAGTGCTTATCCCAACCCATGTACAGGATGGAAACACCAAAGGGTCTTTTACCTAAATAACAACAACAAAAAATTTGACTAATACATATATTACATCAATAAAATAACTGGTAGGCTAACAAAATTCAACCCTAAGTAGATAAGTAGCAACGGTGAAGTGGTGGTTACCTCCAAACTGGGTATAGGCTTGTTTAATGTCACACAGTGTTGAGACCAGCTGTTCACAAGGTATAGGTTCTTGGTACTGAAGAATATACCTACAAGGGCAGGGCAAATATTTTAATTATTATAGATAAGTCTATCTAATAAATAAATTACTGACATTAAAGAAAAGTTTTAAAAAAAGATTCGATGATTTACCTTTGAGCAATCAACCTGAGCTCATTGGTTAGAACATTAGCATCAGCCGTTATTCCAGCCACACTGATGGCCATGTCACTGAAAAATTATACAGCTCTGATATTTAACTGACACAAAACTGTTAGCTAATAATACAAGAAATAAAGATGTGGATTACCTTTGAGGAAAGTGTTTACCATGTTTTATTTTAATAACTTGTTAAACCGCTATTAATAAACTAGCACTTTTATTTTGTAATTTTTTTTTTATAAACTTGCAACAATTAAATAAAACTGTTTTTTTCAGTAGCATTATTATAACAAATGATCAGGCATAATACATTTTTTAAAAGACACTCACTCATACAAACGATAAATTTTTTCAGAGTATGAAACTTCATCAAGAAGTTTATTAGTATTTCTTTTTTCTGCAGCCAGGAGAATCCCATCCTTTGCCATAATACCCAGACAAGTGCCTGCATGGCCTATAGCCTCCATGGCATATTCCACCTGGTAAAGACGACCTACAACATACAAATTATAAAATGTAATAACTGAAAACAAACTATGCTCTTTTAAAACTGTAATATAATGCAAATTACTATGGGGGTCTAATTGTTTATTGCTAAGCGAAAATTTTAAATGAATTTTTTATACAGAGGTATTAAAATATTCAAACCTTCAGGTGAAAATATAGTTGTTCTTGAGTCATAACGTCGTGCCTAAAAAACAAATCATTTAAAGATATTAAGCTATATTTAAAATGTTTGTCTTGTTAAAATTTAAAATAATAACACTAGTATTTCTATTCCTGCCTCAAAGTCTGCTTCCAACACTTTACTTGATTAAAAAAAAAAGTCGAAAAAGTCAAACATTGTTTTGGCATAGAATGTTCATCCTTTTCTTTAATAACATATAGCCTATTTATAGGACATACAAGAATTTGAGAGGCTAGCAGTACTTTCATTTATGTTAATGAAGACCCTCTACAGGATTTAAAAACAAAACCAAAAAGCACGTTTGACCATTGTTTGATTCCGAGGTTATTTCAGTGGTGCTGCCAGAAACGATCTGTTCTCTTAGCAGGCTACCTATTCTTCTTATGATAGGCCTAATTATTTTTAACTATGCCTTAAAAGTAAGTAGATCTAGACTATTTCTAGACTGTTTCTTCATCTATGAAGAATGGAGTTGAAATAACTGTTGACCGAAGTTTATTGCCTAATTGGTTATTTTTTTTATCCTGACTGGCAGCAGAATAGAAATTTATTAAAATGGGGCCTATAACTATAGGCTAAACGGAATTATTTCATGCCACATAGGCCATATCAGTCTTAATTGGGGCTTTTAAATTGTGTGTGCGTGTGTTTTGTTATTTTATAATTTATCTTGCAGGTTAAATTAAGAAATAAAATTGAGTGGAAACTGAAAATAAAATTCATTAGGCTATAGGCCTAATTATTAGGCTTGTTTTCAGCGGGCGATAGATCTAAATGCAAAACTCAGAAAACTGCCAGCAAGCGGTAAAATGAAAAAGGCAAAGAAGGGGGCCTAAAAATAAATAGACTAGATCTAGCTAGGCCTAAATGATAAATGTTACACGAAAAAAAACCCCAAGATGCAGAAATTTATTTAATATAGTGTAGATCTCTAGATTCCCTACTTCTGTAAAAAAGTGTCTTCTAAAAAAAAGCACTGTACTAAAAAAGCTGAATTTTTTATTTAGAGATCTTGCACTGGCGGCAGCTCCTACGCTACGACTCGGGGCCCCCCATGAAAAGCAGCGTTCTCTTGTGTGCATTTCATTTTAGATGTTCTCAATTTTTTAGAATTATTGTAAGCAAAATAAAAAGTTTTGAAAACCATTTAGAACAAGATAAATAGCGAAATTTCAGAAAATACATTCACAAAACACATGAAACTAAAATTTTGTCAACATCATTCTACCCACCATTTTGGAAATTTGTGCAAAATCATAAAAGATAGAATTATAGTTCTTAGAAAATTAACGAAACAACTAATACATTAAAAAAAACGGATTTTTATATCCGTCGTAGCCGTAACTACTCATAAAGTAGATCTAAAGCTAATAAAATTAATTCACCAGAAAAATTATTAAAAGGCTAAAAATAATAATACATTTACAAAATTTTTAAAAAAAGTCATAATTACTACATAGGCTACTCCATATATCTAATGTTTGTCAAGAGTCAAGGAGATCGTCATCGAACTAAAAGAGAGAGAAAGGAAAATTCCAAATTATGTGACGATGCGTGACAGTGTGTGTATAAGAGAAGTTTGCTTAGCGATGTGTTTTTTTTTTTTTTGGCAAACGGTTTATATTATTTCGTTATATTGCATGCAAAGGGAACGAACTTAATTAATATTTTTGAAAAAATGAAGTGAGCTCGGTTATACCCCCTTACAGAAGAGAAATTGAAAATACTAAAATGGGAGGGATGGGTAGGAAAGTCAAAAAGGGGAAGGGATAATAACAGGACACTATAGCAAAACCATTCAAAAATAATTTAAGTGAGGCTTATACGCCTTAGAGTCATCCCTAAATGACGTCATAATCCTTGTTAGTTGAGGGGGATCTGATGCAAGAGGGGGAGTTTTAGAATGTATATTGTCACACTTTTGTTTTTTAAAAAGTAATTAATAAACTGAATTTTAGCAGTTATTTAACATTTTAAGACTTATATGTATATTGTAACAAAAAAAATCATTATATTATATAAGGTCTACTTTGACCAGTTAATTGTGTTATCCCATGTAGAACTTTTTGTTGGGATAGGAAGATAGGTGGAAATAAAAACAAGTTAATTAAAAAGTGTAGTGACAATTTTAGCGCAATTTCCTTTAGTTATCTAAAAATAGCTCTGACGTATAATGCTGGGGTGCGTTCAAGCTAGGAGAACGATCGGTTTGTAGGTGTTTATGTAATTTTAAAATTTGTGACCGAACGAAAGGATATTTTTGAAAACTTTCTTCGGCTATATTGTTCTAAATTATGGCAGAAATCGATTGGTAAATGTTTCAAGTCGCTAAGTGGTCTGGTTGCCAAGATATGGGTCAAAAACTACATTTTTTCGAGGTTTTTTTGGCTTTTCCGTGAAATCCAGGAAGGAATTCCGGGAATTTTTTTGGCCCACTATCATCCTCGGAACTTGCTTAACAAATTTGCTTTTGGAACTAGTCCTCGATATTGCTTCGTTGAGGAGGAGATACGACTTAAAGCTGCGAACACACATTCCCAGAAAAGACGAGTTAATAAACGCGATTCTCCAGAATGGAAATTGCGCTAAAAAATAATTTAAAAAGTGTAGTGTCAATTATGGATGATGCTTTTAGATTCTTCTATAGAACAACTTAAATGGAATGGGGGGGGGGTTGGAAGGGGAATCAGATTTTAGTGTAGATGTGTTGGTACTTGTTTTCTTAAACTGTAGGGCCAAAGCTTTTTTCAATTGTTTTTCTATATATTTAATCCACTTTGTCAAACTAGGTCGATATTTTCCAGTTAAGTTGTCAGTTTTTCTTAGTTTGCTTTGAATTGTTGCTAGATCTACAGGAATGATTCAACTTGTCATTTTGATGTTGCCACTTTTTAAAAAATGCTAATATGGTGCATTTCCCATTTTCAGGCATGCAGGGTAAAAAGTTTCCGATAATCTTAAACTCAACAATGTACTGTGTATCTGGCCCACACAGTTAAATATCCCAAACATGCCAGGTGTTACAAAGATCTCTTACAGATTGAGAACAGGAACCTAAATGTAAACAAGTTAGCTCACCCATAATATCCTGATGTTTACAAAACTGAATGAATTTCAAAAGTTTAAAAAAATTTAATTTATTTATTAAGTTTAACCATTCTTTACTTATACTGTTGTTAATCAGAGAAAAAAAAAATTCACTGTAATTAGTACCAGCACCTGTGTAATGTAATTGTTGGTAGGGCTGTGGATGGTGCAGGTGACAGAGCTCCTGTCTTCCCATGCCACCCAATCTGTTGTCAGAAATTGTAGGTCTTGTGTGAACACAGAAAACTAATGCAAGGCTGTATAAATGTTTATTGTTTGTACAAATATTTTACAACTTTTACTTGCAAACTTAAAACTAAATAGTCATTCAAGTGTTAACAGTAATATGATTTAATTGTCTTTTAATCACATGATGTGATAGCCTTGTAATCACAGTTTGTTAGGCTTGTACTTGTACATGAAAATAATTACAAATCTGCGTGATCTTGATAGCACAGTGCAAGATCTTTGAGACTGTGTATGGCCTCTGTAAAGTCATCAGGCTCAAGACCAGCTTCAATGAAATGTGGATGGCGAGCTATGTTAAATTTGGAAATACATCCCTCTAACGAGTCTATATATTTGAACACCTCAGGGTTGGACTGTAATGTTGCCATAACAGGTACAGTTTCCACACCTGAGGAAAAAAACATTTTTTTTCTATCAAACAGAATGGTAACAGGACATAACTATTTTTTAAAGACCTAATGCGGATGCCGTGGTCTGACTAGAGAGTGCATGATTGATAACCGCCAAAGTGCTAAATCAAACAGCTGCTGTCGTGCAGTTTGTTCTTGGCTGAACAAAGAATATGGAAGCAAATCCAGAAAGTAAAGCAGGCTGAAGCCGGAGTCAAACTGCCATATGGTGCAAATTGTTGACACGCAACAAATGCTTAATTGTGTTTGAGGAAATTTTCTTCAATATTACAATTGAGAACAAAGAAGAAGAAGAAAGGCTTAATGCTCCAAAGTGTTCTTGTGATTTCAACATATTGATGCATTGTGTGGCTGTAATATATAAAACTTGCTTTACTTTCCTAGACTTGAGGCAAGTACAACAGAGTTAAACAGATCCAGGGAAAATCTATGAACTATACTGTGGGAAACTTTAGACTTTTGTGTGCACAATCAAGCACTCTACCATGCAGCCACTTATATGATAAACGATGATTTACACATAAACATAATGAAAGAGCAAAATATAACAAATGAACATATATTTTTTTTAGAACAGAACAAGTTATCTTTGAATGACAAAGCTTAAATATTAAAATATTACCAACCACTTAATAAAGGTCTTTTAGTATCTGTAAGGAAACCTTGATAATTGATCTCAGATTGAAAAATATGTGGAAATGGAGTTCCAACTTTCAGGCCATCAAGCAACACACAGCTGGCACTGAAGGAACATTGAAAATTGATAAAATGATGTCATACATTCTTTGTCAAGAGAGTAATAACCAACGTAAGAAAATATTTTTGACTAAATAATTATCTATAAAAAATTATTTAATACCTTACCTAAGAGTTGAGGGATAGATTTCAGAATGGTATAACTGAATTATATCATTGACACTTGAAAGAGTTGGCATTTGCTTTGTGGGGCGAGAATGAGATCCACTGATGAAAAAAATAATGAGAACTAGATTTATTTTTCCATACCAGGATTGTTTTCTAGGATGTCTTTATATTTCACTTGTTAATGAAATTACATTTCAATATCTCACAACTTCTATATGTAGATATGCAAGAGTACATACTTATTTTGGCCATGTTTTATTTGTTAAAAAAAAGTAAGTTCATGTAATAATAATTATTGAGATTTTTGAATTACAAACCTTTTGATAACAAATGATGGAACACCCCGCACAACACAACTTTGGATCCATGGAGTTGATGAACAATCAACATGTGGGGTTAATGATCTTGTGTCAGTCAGGTTCGTCAACGTTTCAATTAAAGAAGTCCCAGTTCTCACAGGAAAAGGTAATGTTGTATACAACGCTGCCACCTTAAAATAAGATTTTAAAGCTAAATCTGATGAATATAGTTAACTAAACAAAAATTAAGGTTTCAGACGGAAGCTAAGGCTAGATAGATACCATTATCTAACAGCTCATTACTTTTACATCATTTTCAGGATAGGAAAGAATACTGACCTTTCTACCCATTGAATTAAGGGAATCTGTTATGTCATTCATTCTGCCAAAGTCTGCTTCTGTTCTATATGGCATAGTTACAGTGTCTAAATTAGCAGCTATAACAGAACTGGTGTGATAGTCTAGTTGAGCCTGAAGTTTATATTATGGTACTTATTCAAACATTTAAAAAAAAACTTTAAACATTTTATCCAATTAGAGACATTTTAAATTAAACTCTTCTCAACATGCATGTGACAACAAGCTAACAACAATCAAAGAAAAAAGCATGATGCAAAAGTAACTTTCCTTTTGAGATAAAAACCAACCATAATCACAAACCATGAAAGTAAAGAAAATGTAAATTGTCCTTATAGTGATAATAACAAACATCGAAGGGAAATAACTACTCTAAGTCCTTGTATCCTTAACTAAATTCCTAGAATATAAATTATCAACAACAAATTTTTCAGAAAATCCCTGAACCATTTAATTAGACGCTGGTAGAAAATTTATAATTCTAACCTAAATTTTAATTCTCTTATGCATGCGCTTCTTACTTTATATGTGAGATGAGGGAAATCAATTGGTTTGCCAATACTTTTCCATAACGTTGATGCAAGTGAAACAGGAACATACAAAGAGCTAGAATTAGAACAATGATATAGACCAAGGGCACTGTTTAATAGTCTGGCTGATCTTTCAGCAGGTGTCTGTGGAAATGATATATAAATGAAATAGAATGTTACAATACTTATTCATAAACATCTTTAAAGGATATGTTATTTACTATAGAACAATCGTCAAGTATTCCTCCAGCTTCCTCTCTAGTTGAATGTTACTACCTGATCTGGTGCTGTTGTTGGTGTCAGGGAAAAACTCAATCTAGATTTGTTAGAAAACTCCTCCATTAAATATGATAATACTGAAGAGGCAAGTCCTGCAAAAGCATTGTGGCTGTCCATAAGAATGTGAAAACCCTGTTGATATAATTATAAAATAAGGTATACAAAAAATTTTATACAAATTTCTCTATCCTTCTATCAAAATGTATAACATGATATGCTCAGTTAGCCATTGCCTAAAGTTAAATGTCAGTAGCAAAACATCTAAATAGCAGCAACTACCTGCAACTGGTCACATTCTTCAGTAAAATAACGCAGGCGATCTTCTATTTCGTCCCACTGTTGCCCATCTTTACAGATTTGCTGGCCCAAACCAAATATGTTAAATGGGGTTTCAGCACTGAAAACAGAAGATTATTTTAAACAATTATTACAATGGTCTTCTACTTGTAGTAGAATCTGGCAATAAAAATTTAGGATAGGATCCTTTCTGAAAAAATTTGGCAGAATCGAAATAATTTGTGTACAATATTTGTTAGAGTTATCAACAGCCTTTTAAAACTTACTTATTATACTGATGACCCTTCAACAAGAAAATTGAGCGTGGATGCAAACCCATGCGTAGGTAGTCAGACCACACCTTCACATCATTATCAAGGTCATAGTAATTTTTGCCAAACACTTGTTCCTCTGCCTTTAAAGGTAAACTATCTTGGCACAGTTCTAAAGGAGAAAAAATAATTTGATGTTTTCTTACCAGATTTATTTAGAACATCCAAACTGACATGAATTCTAATGATCCAGATCTTACCAGTTTCATCAAAATCATCATCCCATTGTTTAACCCTGGGTTCAAGTGTCTCTGACTCCTGAAGCAAATAAAGCAAAAATCTAACAGTAAAATAGTTTATAAAAAATTACTTGACAGTAAAATAGCTTATAAAAAAAGTTACTGATGTTTATTGTTAAATAAACAAGTTACTACAAAGATGAAGGTGAAAGTATTACTTTGTCTAGATCCTGCAGATACTGATTTTTTCTTGTTCTTGGTGTCTGATGCAGTGTTACATCACCTACCCTACAAATAGTTTTAAAAGTATAGCATTTTAGTTTCCACCAAAATTAGGGGCAACTAAACAAGTAAGACTGACTATTAGGCACCATATTGTACAGATGTGTAGTGTAAATTGTTAAGTTTATTTAAAGGCTCATTATTTTAGTACAGTGTGGACACTAATGTAACTCTACAGAAACTTAATTCTGTCATCAGTACTCAGGTAATAGAAAACAGCACTTCTATGTTATATAGTTGGGCTGCAAGTTATTTTTGATGGTAGTGCTATTTGACCCCAACCATAACTGGTGTACATGAAAAAAAACCTTGAAACAAGAATGTGTTGCTCTACTGGAGTACATCCTCATAAAACTGTGGTGCTATTTTAATTGTTGCATAGCTTTAGAACTGCAACATTACACATTTTCTTACCACCGAATATTTTCTTCTACATTAACATCATAGAGTGTGCCATCTTGCTTCAATGAGCCAAGGCTGTTGTTCAGGTCAAACAAAACTAGACGTGGGGTGTAGGTAACATCTCCCTTTTTTGGAAAAAGTAATTAATTTTCTCCATTAGCCCTCATTATTCAAGTAATTAAACAGAAAAAAGTTACAAAATGTGACAACGTATGACTGTTTTAATGCAGGACTTGGAACTTGAATAGGCTTACCATTTAAAAAGCTTTACATGATATATATGATATAAACAAAAACAAATTAATAAGCTATGATTGAGACAAAGATTATTAAGATTTCAGATTAAAGTAATGTAAAAATAAAGTTCGTCACACTTTTAATGTTTTTCCCTCTCTAAATAGAACATCATGATTGACTTCCTTGGGATGCTCCTCTAGCAGTTTGGGGTCATAAACAAAGGAGGATTCCTGTAATACACAAGTGTATCGGGGATGAAAATTTCTTAAAGATAATATTGCTAATGTCCCAATATTAAATTAAAGATAGTTTAACCAATAATTCATGAATAGTTTTTAACAATACATTTTAGGCAATAAAATGTGTTCCTGATTACCAGAATGGTGATATATTATGAAGCTTATTTTTTCAATGCTATCCTATAAAATAACAGTGTTAGGAGTCATCAATATATCATTATATGACCCAAATTTTAGGAGAAAGGAATGGGTTTGGATTTTTTTTTTTTACATTTTTGATGAGCAGGGGAGGTTCAGAAAAAAATTATTTCTGAAGAAACTGAATTTTAGTAGGCCTAGCTATTTCACATTTTAAAAGACCTATTTAAAAAAAAAAATTGATCAATAGATCTAAATCTAATGTTGACCCAACTCAGTTAATACATTAGTTTTTAGAGCCAAATCGTTGTTTAAAAAAAATAAATGGGAAGGTAGGTTATCTGAGTTACCAAGTGAAATTACTTTGAGGCGGGGGGGGGGGGGGGGGGGGAGGGGAATTTGACAATTTGTAATGATGTTATTGTCATTTTTATGTTATTGTATTATGTGACGGGGGAAGGAAGGTGGAAATAATTTTATTTTTAAAAAATAACATGTGCATGTCCTTTATGGGCTACTCAACTATGCACGTCCACTCGAGACATAAATAAGTTTTTTATAATTCTTGTCAGAAGCATCTTAATAGATCTAGATCTATATACTGTAGGCCCCTATATAGGCCTAATAATAAATAGTTTTATTTTTTATACACCTATAACTATGTTCCCTCTAAGGGGAAAAAAATCGTGTGCAGCGTGCATTTTGTGTGCGCGGTGTTCTGAAGGTCTTATACAAGGATATAGATCTAGATCTATGTATTGTACAAAATAACTGCGCTGCAGCTAAAAACAACTGCACGGCCCCACAACCGCACAGCTTTGAGTTTGAGGGAACATAGGCCTATAATAAATAAATAGTTTTGTATCTCAGGCAGAACTACACAGAGAAAAAATTGCTCCAAATAGGCTATGTACTATGTGGCTATGCAGTGTTTCAGCATCATGTGACATCAGCTAACAACTAAAATGTCAAAAGTGCAGAAAGCACAGGTTTGATTGGTTGGCTGCTGATACTGAAATCCTCTAGCCGCTCTAGGGATGGCTCGAAATGTATACTGTATACCAAAGGCCCACTTATTAATTAATAATTTGATTAAAAATAATAATTTATAGATCTAGTATTTTTTAGGTTAATTCTCTTGTCCTACTTAAACTCAACGGCAACTCTCAGTCTCACGCATCCTACCACTCCTGACTCCAGTCCACTACCACCAGACCAGTACCTGTTGATTCCACCAATGTGTTCCCACGAAGTTGGAGTAACTGCCTATTTGAATTGATACTACTTCTCGGGTGGACATTATGATTGTTCTCTTTACCTGAATATAGATCTAGATATGTTGGTTATTACTTTTTTTTTGTGGTAATTATTCAGGTTTTCCACATTTTTTATTGTTTATAAACATCGCCATTTTAAAATGAAAAATTGCAAATCAAACAAATAGAAACGAAAAAATACCGGGATTAGCCGGTGTAGCAGTCAGATTATCTGCCGGGGAAAAGTACCGTGGTACCCAGAAAATTATCTTTTTTTAACTTATAGAGATACCAATGTTATAACCATAGGTCCCTTGACTTATTTACCAGCTGAGCTAAATCTATTCAATAACCCTATTCAATTAAATCTTTCAAGCTCTAGGGCCTATAGAAATGAATTTGTTTTAATATAGCATATAGATATAGAACAGCTGTTACAATTTATTTTAATTTACTGCTTATTTCTCTCTTTAAAAATTAACTATATTATTATGATATATAATTATAGTTTAAACTATGAAGAAAGCTCATGAAAACAAAATGGGTACAAACAAGTGTTATGCATTTTATAATGTAGTAGGCCTATATGGTAGGCCTACATTGCATTCATGCTGGAAAGCTACAAATAATAATCATTAAAAAAGTTTTAAAAATTTCAGCGCGCTAGCTAACTGGGAAGTGCCAGAAATTTCGATCGCAAGATTTGATTGGAAAGACAAACAAACAGAGAAAGCAAGTTAAAGAAAACGTGGGAAAAAAAGTTTCCTTTCCCCTGCGAGACATAACCTAGTCCAAACAATTTAGCCTTCCTGAGCGGAGCCCTTTTATCATAAGCCTTTATGATAAGGTCCATTCACCACAGGCCATTTTGATAGCATCAATTTGTCACAGTTTGTTTTAACGCCCCAAGCACATAAAACCTCCCCACAAGATATAAAGTAGCCTATGTAAATGCATTTGTTTTGCAATTTATTCAGCTGGATTAATTATTAACAATTATTATTACTTCTTAAGGTTGAGACTACAGAACGTAGCTTCACTTAATTATTTTTTTAGTTTGCTGGTGTTGATTTCCAAGAAGAAAATCTAATAATTTAGAATAGTAATTTAGGGTGTCTAAAATTTCATTGAACTTGAAAGACTTTTAATATTAATTAACATTTCTGTCTGTTGACATTTTAATACAATTTGATTTATAAAACCTGGGAAAAAATGATTATTTTGTTAACTCTACCCTTTCATATAAGAAAGCCATAGTTTTATTTAATTTTTAAAAATACTTTCGGAAAACCTTAAAAAAGCACACACCAAAATATTATTTTGAGGAAAAGGCCTATTACTGTTCTAGCTGCTTTATATATATATCATACAATTTCCTATGCTTTTACCATCAGTGAAATTTCATTTGCAAAGTAAACCTTTTTTTAAACTGCAGGTCACAAATGATGGAGTTTTGACATTTGAACCTAAATATTGGTGAGCCATTCAAAAGGTATAATGATTCTTCGCTAGAGGCAAAATACATTTTCAGACTTTTAGAAAAAAAATGTTATCAGAGAAATAAATAGTTTCTTATTAATATTATAGAAAAGGGGTACAATGACTCGAGAAAAAAAGAAATTCAGTTGCTCATCTCTGAATCTCTGTGGAGGATTAAAAGTTTTACCTAACAATAACTTCAAAAGATGTCTTATGGGAGAACTCAAGAAAGCTGAAGATGAAATACTTAGCAATATATTCAGAATGATTTTTTTTTTGCCAGCTGAAAAAATTGAACAATTTCTTTAAAAAGCAATAAAAAGAAAGTATTTTGGGTTCAATCATTTTAATTTTAATTTTAATTAAGTTAAGTTGGTTAATGGAAAAAACAAAAACAATTTGAGACATATTGAACATTTCTAACATTAACAATGGTACAATCAATTTTTTTTAAAATGCTACTTAAAATATTCTTGAAATTTTTTAAAAATTTTGCAAGAAGCAGTATCACAGCTACATTAATTATGTGTAAAATAGTAATAGCTAGATTTTGTATATGATATTACATAAAAGGTAATATTTATAAAGTTTCTATTTTATTCCCACGTTTTCTTTAACTTGCTTTCTCTGTGTCTTTCTGTGTTTGTCTTTCCAATCAAATCTTGCGATCGAAATTTCTGGCACTTCCCAGTTAGCTAGCGCGCTGAAATTTTCAGGGAAGCTTTCTTTTGGATGACCATAGAATATGCAATTGTTATTATTACTAAATTGATCAATGGAAACATTTTATTGAGCATTTTAGACCGCTATATAATCTATATATATATAATTCTCCTCAGCGAGCCATTAGAAAAAAACCAGCGACGCGTAGCTCGCGCGCAGTGAAGCGAACGATTCCACGACGCGACAGGCTTAGGGGGAGATAATTTAGTTTGAACCGACTTAAAACTTACAGGAGGTAGGCCAGTTTGGGGGAGACGATATGGTCGAGTGGTTGGGCACACGATTGCTATCCCACTCGACACGGGTTCAAATCTATGTGTTCTAGTCAGTAACGTATTCACACAACGTGTTTATTACGAGTTGTCTTTTTACGAGTTGTCTTTTTACGAGTTGTCTTTTTACGAGTTGTCTTCGTTTACCCAAAAAAAGTGAAAAGATAAAATCGATAGCAAGATTTTAATGCAAACAAACAGACAAAGACTAAAAAGTAGAAAATAATAATCATTAAAAAAGTTTAAAAAAACCCACGTTTTCTGATTGAACTAAAAAGTAGAAAATAAACGCTATACATCACAATAATGCAAGCGATCACTCTACTATAAGCGATCAAAAACGTGGGGCGCCGTGATTTTCTTACAGTTTCTAATACTGTTGACTCTCTACAAGCTCCCTAATAAAAGTCAATAGTATTATCTAATCAATAGTAATATAACTTTTACTTCGGCGCCCCACGTTTTTCATCGCTTATAGTAGAGTGATCGCTTGCATTATTGTGATGTATAGCGTTTATTTTCTACTTTTTAGTTCAATCAGAAAACGTGGGTTTTTTAAAACTTTTTTAATGATTATTATCAAACATTGTACCTTCTTGTAAATTATTTTAATGTTATCAAACTCACAAGTTTGAAAGTTTTTTAAAAAGCCAGGTTGTTTAATATGTAATGTTTTATAATATACATTATTTTTTATTAAATTACAATAATTTAATGTCTGTATACATATACATATATGTATACACATACATATGGACAATTCATAGGAAAAACTTGGATCCTTAGCAAAATCATATATTTTCCAATACAGCGCATTTTGAAGATAAATGTATATAAAAATACATCAACAAAAGTTGGAAAGATAGCAACACATACAAGTAAACTAAATTCATGACCGGTTTTTAAATTTAAAAAGTAAACATGGTTTTTAAATATTAAATTTAAAACATGAATCAAAATTATAAAAAAAAACCCAGTGAAAATAAAGATTCTATTTACAATGATATTCATAATATGCACAAATAAAACAATATTTACAGCGAAAATGTACAAAACTAAAACTAGATTAATATAATAACAAAAAATAAGCTGCCTTTTAATCAATTAACTAATGATTAAAAAATCTAACTAAAAGCTTTGTATAGAATCTATCAGTTTCCATCTTCCAATGTGTCTAATATGACCCTGTAAAGAAATAAAAGAAAAATTAGTTAAACACCAGAAAGAGAATGCGAAACCCACATTAAAAATATTTAATAGCCAGCTGAAATTACTTGTCATAAATCTTAAATTATACTTTTAACCAGAAAAAGTTCATGCAAAGTTTTAATCTCTATAACACTTATTGTTTGATAAGTTATGTCTTTATATACAACTTACAGACTTTCCAGCTGCACAATCTGGACAACTTTGTTTATCTTTCAGTTGAATTAAACAAACATCATCACCAGATTGCCAGTGGTTAACTCCAGCAGACATTATGGATCCTGAAAGCTTCTTATCTTTCCCAGTCTCATGTGAAACTGAAACAGCTGAAGTAGCATTCATATGACTAACAGTATCAGCCCAAGTTGTGCTCTCATCCAAAAAGCTAGTGTCATTTTCTGGTTTTGATATCTCAGATTCTGTTGTGTGATTCTTTTTTGTCTGTTCATAGTGACCCCATGATAAAAATGTACCATTCACATTCTGACAGTGGGAGCTGAATATCTGGTCATCTGTTTTACTTGGGCCAATGTCCATTGACTGCAAGGTAAATTAAAAGAGTCATTTATTTAGTAATACATTTAATTTTTAAACACAGCTAATGGTAATAATAAATTATATCTGTTGTCTGGATTACACTTGACCTAAAATATATTGCAATAAGAAGGGCAGTAGTTTTAGAATTGCATATATGCAAGGCAACCGCTTAAAGGATGATAAATTCCACACAAAAAAAGAGGAAGTTTAAGCATTAAAGAGTAACTTTAGAAAGTGGATGCTATTATGCTAAACTGAAAGAAAAACAACAATGTATTGCCTAATCATATGTATAGAATAAAGTACCATACAGCAAGTATCGTCCTACAACTACTAAAAAAAAACAATGCTTTAAAAGAATATTTTGAACAGATTTGTGGTACAAAAATATTCAACTATTTTGCATTCGTTAATGTGCTTTGCTAGCTTCACATTTTTCTAAATTGCTATTTACTCATCTTACATTAGCATATGAGATTATCCATAAATTATGTCACACTAGTAGGGGGGAGGGGTCCATAATTTTGTGACAGTGTGTGATGAGGGGGAGGGGGGGGGGGGCGTTCAGACGGTGTGACGTCACACTTTTGCATTATAAAAAAGCAATGTTAAAAAATGAATTTTAGCCGTTATTTCAGGTTTTAGAAAATTGTTTTGATAAATTGTAATATGAATTTATTAAAATACTCTATGTTGACAGAGTTCAGACAAGATTTTGGAAAAATATTGTATTTTAAGAAAAATTTAACTGCAATTTTGAGGGGGGGGGGGGGGGGGGGGTTGTAGGCTGAGGTGTGACGTCATTTTAGGGGTGGTGGGAGGGGGGGGGGAAGTCTGGCTTGTTGTGACGATGTGTGACAGAGGGGAGGGGGGAGGTAAAAATCGTCAAAAAAAGCGTGACATTATTTATGGATGACCCCTATATTACATAACTAATAGAGCTTGAGCTAGTAAATCTTAATCTTGTCTGTGAGTGATGGCAAGTTGGAGGCCAATAGAAGGTTTTTAAGTACTATCTTTAAAAATTATACTCATCAATAATACTCATGAGTTTTACTCTTCCTAGATCTAGAATATAGGCCTAGTTATTATAGCATTACCTAGGTCTAGACCCTAGATTATGTAGTCGCTGGACCTACTTTAACTACTGGATGCATCTATTCGGACCCAGGTCCCAATAGACACGGCCGCTATTGGGACCCGGGTCCTAATAGCCTCGGCCGCTATTGGGACCAGCCAATAGAATTGCTAGATTTAGTTATACAAAAGTTCTTTTAAGATGCAGAATATTGCTTTTCTGTTGTGATTTTTTTCCCTTGTAATTCTAAATGATATATTGAGATCTTGCTTTAAATACCCGATATCATTACTGACAAATGTTATGATGAGCGGGTGTCGTTAGGTCTATAATATAATTATGGCATATGGTATGAACTTCTATGGCCGAGCGAATGTTGAGCGCGCATGTTAAGATGTGTTATAGATCTATTTTTTTTTTCTGTTAAACGTAATTTGATTTCATATATATATATATATATATATATATATATATATATATATATATATATATATATATATATATATATATATATATAATTGTATAAAAAAGCTCTATAGGCTGAAGACTACAGCTCCCGGGCCCGTTTTCTTGAACACGAATACCTCGCATGCGTTGTAGTATGCTTTAATAGAAGCGACAAGTATCATTTGAACTCACAATGACCCCAAATCCGTCTTTCCCTCTTGCTGGGTTGGGAAGGGGGGGGGGACTACGACAACAACAAATCTCGACAAGCTCATAGCAATGGTCTTGCTATGACGTATGCTATACGCCTACACCAGGGGTCGGCAACCTTTTGAAGCGGAAGAGCCAAAAGTTACAATTTTTCAAAATTTCCCTGGTTTTAAAGAGCCACTAACATTTTTTTTATTTCAAATATTTTAATTTTTTATTAAGATTATTAGTATTTGTTCAAGGAGCTGGAGAGCCGCATCTTGATATCAAAAGAGCCGCATGCGGCTCGCGAGCCGCAGGTTGCCGACCCCTGGCCTACACTGTTCACATTTATACCAAAGCGAACTCACAGTTAACCTAGGCTACATCGTGTCGGTATTTTTCTTGCGCTGACCAGAAAACGCTAGCGGGCGTTCAATGGATCAACTATCTATATATATAATTCTCCTCTTCGAGCCGTTAGAAAACAAGCTGCAAACGCTCTCCCTACCTCCCCACCCCTACATGGTTTTAGTGAGCTGTGTTCACTCTAAATGTTTACAAGCAGAGCCAACGATTTTAAACGTAGGGGGGGGGAGGGGGGGGGGGGGGAAGGAAGGGGGGGGTTATGGTCCTTAACGAGCTACTTATAGTGTTTTAAAGAAATATTTTCAGTGTCAGCGTTGGTACTGTCGAATTCACAAATTATGAATTATTGAAAATTAGAAACAACTAAATAGCGGCGTATGTTATGCCGCTGGCCGGCTCGTGTTTTTATAATTGGCGTGTTTAAAAACCTAAATCTAGAAAAAAAAATATAGTCTAAAAAAACAATTAAAAAAAGACACTCATGCAATCAACTCAATGAAATGTTAAACTTTGATAAATACACTGTACTTCTCGCAAAAACGAGAGCCTTGATAGGTTCCGATCCCGTAACTAATAGAGAATCGGGGGAGCTGCATTCTCCACTCGACCACGACGTCTTACGATAATACCTAATTATTTAATGATTTTGTATAGAGAGCTAAATATAGGGTATTTAGAAATAGCAATGCAAGAACTAAAGCTAGCTAATCCGCATAACTAATTACAATAAAAGACAACAAAATACGAGCAAATACACAAGAAAAATCAAATAAACATAAAAGATATAATTTTAATACAGGTTGTACAAGTGCTTAACGAACTTAATGCCGGGTCCCAATAGCGGCCGAGGCTATTAGGACCCGGGTCCGAATAGCCACTTCCTTAACTACTTGATAGTTTATTTGTCAGCCATGTATTTAAACAGAATGATATGCAACTCAAGTCAACAACATAGAAGAAAGTGAACACAGTATTAAAAACTTATAACAATGGACTCAACTGAGAATAGTCTCGAAATTTTTCGAAAGTCCCATAAATAAATATTAAATATTTTTAAAATCATGTAGAATGTTACTAAAATAAATAATTTTAAATATGGCTATAAGAATCTGACTGTTTGATTTTTGTTGGACTATACTAAAGATTGGATGTATTTGACGTTTTAGTATATTTGGTAACAAAACAAAAAAATGTTAAAATCCAAAAACAATTTCTTTATAGGCATTCCGACTTCCGCTGTTTCGATTCGGTATTCAACATCCGGACTTTTCTATGCAGTCTTTATAAAAACTCGCCCTTTTCCGAAGAATGCCGAATCTCAATGTTGGAATCGAGTTTTTAGAAATATTCGATATAGATATTCTAGTGTAGTCGTATTATATGTTTCAATTAGAAAATTACCGCCATTATGACAATCTTTAAGCCGAAATCGATCGCACGATTCTAATGAGTTTATCTCGCGAACATGTCCCGTACGGTGCTGTCACATTTAAATAAGTTTTCGTATTAAACCCTTTATAAGTGTCTTGCCATTAGTTGTAAGTGTCCATTAAATAAACAAATATTATTATAATAACGGTTTTATGGCACTTACTACTTCTGCTTACGAGTTATCATACATGTCAAATCCCCGAGCTAGCGCTTCGGCCTTGACAACGCCATGGCGTCGGTTTAGCACCGCATTACCTATTATCGATAAAATACGCGCACTAATGCCAATGACGTAGTTTTCGAAGTTGGAAAGAATTTAAATTGTGGGTGGCACTGTTAAAACTAGATAAAATACGTTGATCAAGTTATCTATTAAAACCGACAGGCAAGAAGCTTAGGCTTACATTAAATAGTGTTAAGCATTTCACACATACCTTTAATTACTTGATTTAAGGCTAATACTAATAGCCTTTAATATACTATTATACTTTATACTATAAATAAGTTATAGGCCTATTTCTTAGTATAACTAATGCTATATACTATATGTATCGATTGATAAAGTAAGTCTGGGCCTATTATTGGTTATGATAAGTCAAGAAGCTTGGTGATAAACTTATTTAATTATTTGTAATAATTATGCTTATGACATTAGTAAATAATTAACAAAAGGTGCAGCAATTGACATGGGGGGGGGGTACTAATTAATAAGGCAGTGAATTTAGAATGACATGAAAAAGGCATGATAATTATTATTCATAATAATTTAGGATACAATTTTTACATTTAATAATAAAAAGTAACAAAAAACAAATAACAACAAACAATACGGATTTAAATCACTGCATGTTGCCAATATATATATATTCATATAAGCAGATAGACAGGGAAGCTGTAACTTCTGATTTGGTACAAATTAACACTTAGCTTAATAAACTTTTACAAGAATTTGAGGTTTTTCTATTGATTAGTAATTTAGTTGTACCAAAATATCAATAGGGTCTTATAAAGGCCCTAGTATATTAAAGTAGTTTCCCTTTTGGACCTGTCAATCCATCATCCATAAAGCAGCTGAAGTAGAGTTTATCTGTTTCTTGACCCATGCACATGAAGTGATGGTGTGGTTAGCTCTCTGCCAAGCTATCTTTACTTTCCCTTGGGTCAGGTACTCATCTGAGCTTGGTGGATGCTGCACGCTGCACAGACAGACTCGTCTGAGATCTGAGCATAAGACTTGCGTGTTAGTAGTTGAGTGCTTTAACACACCATCCCTAGTTTTATTTTTCAGCATTCTTCTTATTACATGCTTCAGTATCAATAACCAAAATGTATCCTATTATAGTAACATTCTGGACATACGTCCGTTGCAGTCACTATAATTACTATAAAAGGGTGCAACACCCTTTCATAGGACTTTTTAATTATATGCAGTCATACTTAATATAATTTTTTTCTATATTTCTATTGCCCCCACCCTCTAGCAAAGTTTCAATTTTAATATTAAAAAAAAAACATAGACTTTCAGTCTGCATATTGACCTATATAGAACAGCACCCCTCACTTTAATTTGACTTGATTAGTTCTAATTATCCTTCATCAAATTTTGATTTTACTTTCATATTTCTATTGCCCACACTCTCTAGCACTAATGTGCAAAGTTTTATAATTATATCTCGAATAGCAGCAGTGGTATGCAAGCCTAAAGCCAATCACACAATTAAATCCGATGTTACAGTGACATATAACAGGTTTAATACATAACTTTAAAAATTCATATAAAAAAAACTATTAGGCCTAGAATGATAAATTTGGTATTTTTATCAATGGGGTGTATTATAGGATTAATCTGTGTACATTTTATCATTCTATGGTAATTAGGAAAAATATCCCAACATTCCTATTCTTTAATTTAATCTTTGTGCACATTTCATCTCTGAAAATGACAACAATCATGCCTGAACTACTACACTAGATCTAGATCTAGTACTAGATCTAGTCAGTACAGCTACAGACAGACAGTGAGCAGAAAATATCTAATAAAAGAAACCTCTTCCACAGTGGTTGAAAGCCGCTGCATTTTAATAGCACCATTCTGAACACAACAATCATTTTGGTTAGAATAACGCCGCTTAAGGGAAGCTAGGCCCAACATCGAAGTGACTTCCATTTATAATTTTAAATTATGCCCTTTCATCTAGACCATATTATTTATAGATCTATAAATGTTTAGGGCCTAGTTTAGTAACATTTTAATTTTTAATTACATACACAATTTACTTAGCAATTAAAAAAAACTTCATATAAAGAAATGTATCTGATTCCTTAGTTAAATATTCTAAAATAATCTAATAAATATTACTATTTTCTGAAATTAAACAATATTTACTCCAATCCTAAAATTCAAAACAATAAACCATGGTAGCAGTATAAACATCCGCTGTTGCGAAAATGTGTAGGATAGGCCTAGTGTAATGTGTAAGGCTTTATTTCAATTGTAATTTTATGGTTAATATATCTTCGCATAACTCAAATAATTATTGATTTTATAAACACGCGTATTATTATAAAATAAATCCATGCTTAGATGCTAAGATTCAGATCGCCTCCAAACTCCAAAGCAAACCAGCCGCCATGGCCATGGTCCATCGACCATCATGCGCGATGTCACGTTATATTCATTATTTATTAAATTAGGCTTAATGTTGTAATACCTATTAATAATTATGAGTATTAATAGCTAATTATCTACTAATATGTAGCATTGTTACTGAATCTTTAATAAAATTAATTTTCGATTTAAAACAATACCAATAATAAAAATTTGAGATTTCTTCCCAAACAGACTTACACTTAACAGACACTAAATAAATTTGATGGATCTATTAAAACTGAATAGGTTAAAACATCTAAAACTTCACGATTGGGTATCATGTTGATGAAACCCTTATAAAATGATTAGTCACTCTGATGTGTAGGACTAGATCACAGAAACGCATGTCATTGGTACACTAATAAATAACTAAATAACATTGATAGGTTTAAAAAAAACAACTGATTAATACAACAATATCGAATGTGTTATATTACCAGACAATATGACAACAAACAAGTCTGCATTTAGTAAATAATACAAACATGGAGTGCAGAATTCCTAGATCCATCTAGTGTGATGACATCAATACACACACCCAGCAATATGAGTCACAGCTTTCAAGGAGGATCCTCCGTAGCTTGGACAGGAGAATCGCCTGATCTGTCAGCATCCATGGGAAAATCTGAGCTGAAGGAGGCATATATTACAGGTAGAAGGAGACAGATGGGTTTCAAAGCAAGATCAGTGCAAGAAAAGGAGGATCTCTACCTTCAGGTTGAAAATTGCTGATTTTTATCTTTTACTATTCAAATTCAACTCTAATTTAAAAAAAATAAGACAATGTAAAAATACAAATTTTTATGGTGAATAAAATTTTATCCCTAATTTAATTATATCTAAATTGTCAATTTAAATATCTGCTAACATAGGTGCTACATAACAAATGGTTTATTTTTATTTATTCTGCAGTTAAGGGATCAGCAAATCAAGTATATTAAAGAAACATTTTACCAAAAGGAATGCAACAAGTTCATACCTTTGCCAGGCCAGTGTGGTAATGGAAAAACAATAAAAGCCAAAGATGTAAAGTAAGTGTCTGCTTTCCCTATAAAAGTGTTTTGACAAAATTTTCAACCCTTTTTTTTTAATAAACATGTTTTTTGTATGTTGTAAGGTGTCACTGTGGTGAGGTTTTAATGATGCATGCTGGAATTCAGTCAAGAGCAACTCATTCTCCTTATTCAAATGCAAGGACCACTATTCCCCCAGGTACGTTACAATACACTTAAGGCAATTGTTAAGAAATTTAGTTTTAAATATTGAAAGAATACATCCTCTTTGTTCTTCAGAATTTGAATATTTATTAAAATACCAAGACCAAGATTTAATAGAACTTCCAAAGTCCAAAGACACTTGGGATCAATCAAGCTGCTTTTCAGTTACACCTACAACTGCTTTTGGGCGGATTGATTTTAATGTAGAACAAGTTGGAGGCAAAAAACCATCAAAGGTGTTTTTTTATATTTAACTCATTTGCTACTTGTCCAACCTGAAGCGACTTACCCCTGTTGCTGCTAATACAGCATGCCTCAACTGCCATTATTGCCCTATTAGCTATCATGCTCCTGTCACAGTATTGTTTTACAAAAAATGCTTTCACGCTATTCATCATAATTCATGATTACTAAATTTAGTACAAGAATGCTTAAGGTTTTCACCCCAATAAACTTAAGTTTCTAACTTCTTTCACAAACTTAGCCTTAAATAATAAATATTGCTACAAAAATACATCAAAGTACATATTTTCTTTCAGTTTAAATTTTTAATTTATTTTTAAAAGTACACTGTATAATTTTAAATAATTAAAGCTAAGTATAAACATTTTCTTTTTAAATTTCAAAGAAAAGTTATTGTGGGTTGTCTCCCATAGTTAAGAATCTGGGGAAGGTTTTTAAAATAGGCTTAAGTATCAAATGAGTGAAGAGTGATAGAGTACTTAGAAACAACATTTTTGCTACAAAATGTAAGCACAAAATAGATTACTACAACTTGCACAATATGTGCAGTAATTGATAGCGTACTCAGTAAAATAAACTTGGCTAATGTGCTATTCAATCTTCTTCTTCTTCTTCTTCGTTCTTAATTATTAGTGTTGAAGGGGATCGAGATTTATCTGCCAGTGGATTTGAACTCGAGACTTTGTTCGAATTTATCAACCATGAGCTTTTTGCCGACTCGACCACGCCTCCAACACAATTAAGCGTTACGTGTCAACTGGTTATGCGCCATTGAGGCCATTGACTCCGATTTCAGCCTGCTTTTCTTTTTGGATTTGCTTCCATAGCCTTTGTCCAGCCAAGAACTAACTACAAGGCAGCAGTTGTTTGATTTTGGAGTTGTCTCTCCTAGAAGAGTGGCTGTCCCCAGCTAACGAGCCTCATCTGCCCGAGGGTTCGTACTCGAGACTTTTCGGTTTAGCAACCATAAGCTTTACCGACTCAACCACGCCGACCCCATGTGCTATTCAATAATTCTCATCACAATTTTAAAACTTTTTTACCAAAACATTTTATGCATATTTTTTTGTGTAGTACCTAAGGCTGTGCATCAAAAATAACGTTGAGGAAACTGTTGACAAATGCTTAGACCTTCTAAAGAATTACTGGAACATGATGGACCCTGAGCCCCCTCACCTAGTCATCTCAGTTGTTGGTGGGGCGAAAAACTTTAAGCTGGATGGTCGCATGCGGGAAACATTTTCCACTGGTCTTATAAAGGTATCTTTGAATAATACACACAGAGAAATCTCAAGAAGTGTTAAAAGTATAGAATAAGTTATCAAAATACTACTGTCATGATTCAGCATTAATGTTGTTTTTTCCTATTTCAAAGTAAAAAAATAAACATATATATATATATATATATATATATATATATATATATATATATATATATATATGTTATCATAACAATCCAATGGTATAATTTGTAATTAGGCTGCAAAGACAACAAATGCATGGCTGATAACATCTGGCTTCAACATGGGAGTAATGAAGGCAGTGGGGCAGGCAGTGCATGAAGGTCAAAGTTTTCAGTGGAAGAATGATAAAATGACACACGTCCTCAGATGTATTGGCATAGCACCGTGGGGCTATGTGAAAGGGAGGAAGTATTTAGAAAGTTCTGATGGAAAAGCAAGTATTCCATTTTTTATGAGACCTTCTTCATTCTAAGCAAAAAGCTCTTCAATTTTTCAATGAATTAAATATTAAAACAATAAAACTTGCTGTGTTATTTTTTTTTTCAGGGAAAATTTAATGCCTACTACCGTACCAGTAATCAGATCATTCACAAACAGCCTGTACCTTTAAATCCAGACCACACCCACTTTATATTTGTGGATGATGGGTACAGGTACAGGTATGGTGGAGTGGCAGATTTTAGGTCCAAATTTGAGAAGAAGATTGCCTCAGGTACTCATCTGCTTTCTGTCTGCTTATTAAATAATAATAGAAAATTTTATTGGCTTTTAATTATCTAAATAATGTTTTTTGAAGATTTAATGCTCGTGTGAATTGAATAGGTTTAGCAGAAAAGGGTCTGGAAATCCCCCTGGTGTTGTTGTTGGTTGAAGGTGGCACAGATGCCATCCAGGATGCCAGCGTGTCATTAGCGCAGGGAATTCCTGTTGTTGTATGTGCTGGCACAGGAAGGGCTGCTGACATCTTGGCTTATGCTTACAACCATACCAAGACTAATGGGTAGGTCAAGGTCGTTGTAATCGTACCAAGGCTAATGGGTAGGTCAAGGTCATTTTACATAGACTGTCACAACCATAACAAGATTAATGTGTAGGTTGTCATGGAATTAGAATAATACATCTCAGCTAAATCTCAGCCTGTTATACCTTTAGACATAATTCAGACTTCTTACCACATATTAGATAAAAAGTATAAATAGTGTATCAGACTATAAAACACCATTATCAAATGCTTATTACTAAATTTTAAAGACATTTAGTACCATACTTTCTTGTATCAAGTAGTCGACTTTTTGTGTACACAGTAAAATAGCTTATTATAACAAAACAGGCCTATTATAAAATACTCACGACTCAATCCAGTTGATATTAAAATAAGTCTGTCTCTTTATAAGTAACTATTTATATAATTTATTTAGCATAACTCATTTGATCATGAAAACATTTGTATTTTTACTTTGTTTGAATGATGTAAATTAATTTCATGTTGCAATTTTATTAGAACAAGCCGTGTAATGAAAGACACACATCAGGACAAACTGGCACAGAAGATTTACATCGCCTACAAGGATAACCTCAAACAGGGAAAAGAAAAAGATGAGTTGGAGGCCCTGAAGGATAAGGTCATTGACTGCTGCAAGAATGAGGATCTGGTGAGTTGCTGGCCATATTTTAATTTCAAGTATTCTAGTAGCGGCATTTTAGATCAGATGCTGTAAAGGTTAATGAAACAAGAATCCTTTGAAAATAAAAATAAATTTAACACATAATTATATTTCATTTAGATGCATTTTGGAAACTGTCACATTGGATGTAAAAGATCTAACAATTTGTTGTTAAATTTTTTGTTGTTGTTTATTTAGCATTTTAATTTTCATATTTTTATTTTCAAGATGACAATTTTCAATATGAATAAACATGAGGATTTGGACTCTGCCATTTTGTCAGCTCTGTTTAAAGGTTGGCTGTTTAAAATAGTTTAATATATTTACTATTTAAAGTTACATTATTCTCAACAAAAAAAACACTAAATTCAAACTTTTTTCAATCAAAATTCTTTTTGTGTGGTCATTTGAAACCATTGAAAATCAAAGTCTCAACTGCTTTATTGAACACAGCAAAAATTCTAATTAATGATAGATATTGTAGTTATTGTAACTGCCATACACTCCACTAGTGGTCCATAAAGTCTAAGCCTGAGTTTTTGAATCAACAGCAAAAATCTCTTCTTCCCGTGAGAACCAATTGAACCTGGCTTTTACTTGGAATAGAGCAGACATAGCACAAGAGGAAATTTTTAGGGAGGATGTCATATGGAAGGAAGGTTGGAAGCTTTTTTAAAGTAGTATTTACAGTATTATTTTCCTCCTTTGTATTTATGTCTTTTTGTTAAGTATTCATGTTCAGTTTTCCTTGACCTACACACAAATTGTTTTGTCTACAGGTAGCCTGGCTGAGTTTTTAACTAAAGCACTGATTGAGAATAAAGTTGAATTTGTGAAACTTTTGCTCAACAATGGAATCATCATGCAGGAATATCTTACCAAGACAAAACTAGAGGCTCTGTATAAATCAGTAGGTTTTTTTAAAACATATTCAACACATACTGTTAAAAATTGAATGAAATATATGTTTTGTTTTATTCAAGAAAATTATAATTTTCTTAGTTAATAAAAAATGTATACAATTTTTCTCTTGAATCTCATTTTTTTTTGCAAAAGAAACTTCTGTTAAATTATAATTTTAATATGAATAAATTCTTTTAAAAAAATATTTTTTTTATGTACTTTACAGATTCCAAAGCATTCCCATCTGCAACAAATCTCATCATTCCCTAAAGAAGAGCATTTGAATTTGGACTCAATAGGAAAATTCATCCAATCAATGCTTGACAAGTATGAACACAACTTTTATGTAAAGGAGGATAAATCTCACAAGTTCTCCAACAACAATAACGTGTCCAGCATACTGTTTGCCTCGGCTCTCAGACACAAGGACCTTGACTCATCAGATGATGGCACAGAGCCAAATGCCTTCATGTGGCCGTATAAACAATTGCTTATTTGGGCAGTTCTTCTAAACAGGTTACACTTTGATACTTAACTGTTCATAGTGCCACTAAATTTAATTGATACTTATAGTTATAAGATAAATAGAACATTGTTTATATTTATATTTTTTTGTTTAAACAGACTACATCTTATATAAATGTAAAACTGTATGGTTTAAGTTTTGAAAATGTTGATTTTTAAAATTGAATAGATATGAGTTAGCCCACTTGTTTTGGGAACTAGGAGAGGAACCAATTGCCAGCGCCTTGATATGCACTGTACTGTGTGCCAGGATGGATGTCAAGGTGCCTAAATATCTCACAGCTCTCAAAAACGATTTCCACAAAATGAAAACGTGAGTAGACAAAATAATTGTCTCTTTAGGTCTATCACATAATCAATGTCAGTATCTACAATAATTGTCACTTTATGTCTATCTTTTTGTCTATTTAAACAGTCCCAGCGTTCATAAAATGTGTCCCAAGAATAAAATAGCTTATTTTTAATTTTTAAAATTAGTGCATGTTATTTTATTGCATGCTAATAATACAAATATTCAAATATTATTCCTATACTGTTGCATAAATTTTATGTTTTAGCGAGTTTGAGCAAATAGCGATCAGTGTGTTAGACGAGTGCCATAATGTAGACCCTGACAAAGCAATGATGTTGATAGAAAGAGAGTCGCCAGTTTGGAATGGCTTGACCTGTCTTCAGATTGCAGCCTCTGCCTCAGATCAGGTATTCTCAATCATTAAAAAATATCGCATTTGTTTTTTTTAAATTTACATTTCTCAACATTATATTATATTACTATTTATTTAAAAATGTACATTTGTCTACATTAAAAAATAATAAAAATACCACTATTTATTTATAAATTTACATTAATATATATTAGTAATAATTTATAAAAAATTACATTTCTCTGGATTAAAAAATATTTCTATTTATTAAAAAATTTACATTTCTCTATATTAAGCATGAGATTATCAAAAGAAAGTCTGTATGAGCCGATAGTAAAAAAATTAATAAGCTGTTTCATGTACATTGAACTGACTTTACCCTAATGCCTTCTCTCTGTAGGCCTTTGTTTCTTCAGTTGCTTCTCAAAACTCCATCAACAATGTGTGGAAAAATGGCATTGCAGCAAGTTGGCCGAAGGTTAGTGGTTTCAGATCTAATGTTAGCTAAATCAGCAGCCTCTACTAAATACTTAGAAACAATATGAATTCATTTACACGTTAAGGTTAATATTTTTCAAATTTAATATTTTTCAATTGATGACTTTGAGTAAATGTTTTAAAAATTTTCCAGGTGTTTTTATGTGCACTCTTCCCACTGTTGATTCCTTTGATTATGGAGATCAGCATGTTTGGGGAGAGAGTTCAAAGGCATAAAGACAAACTTATTTTGTTCTACACCTCACCACTGACCAAGTTTTCACTCTACTCAGTAAGTCCTGTACAGATCATTGATAACATAGAAGGGAGGTAACTAGTCACAGTAAGTCTTGTACAGAACATTGATAACATAGAAGGGAGGTAACTAGTCACCGTAAATCTTGTACAGTTAATTGTAAACATAGAAGGGAGGTAACTAGTCACAGTAAGTCTTGTACAGAACATTGATAACATAGAAGGGAGGTAACTAGTCACCGTAAATCTTGTTCAGGTAATTGTAAACATAGAAGGGAGGGAACTAGTCACAGTAAGTCTTGTACAGATCGTTGATAACAGAAGGGGGGTAACTAGTCACTGTAAATCTTGTACAGTTAATTGTAAACATAGAAGGGAGGGAACTAGTCACAGTAAGTCTTGTGCAGAACATTGATAACATAGAAGGGAGGTAACTAGTCAGTCACACCAAGCACTGCTAATTCTCTACACATTGTCTACTGTGTAATTAACTGTTCATCAAATCTAAACTAATGGCTGAGACTAGAAGTTTAGAAATATGAGTTTAGTTTTTTTAGTTACATGTACTAACTATATTGTATACGACTTACCTGGGATTATATATATGTATCCATTGTTGACAAATTAAAGGCCTCATACCTGGCATTCCTGGCACTGTTTACCTACATGCTGATGGTTGACTACATGAAGGAACCTTCAGTCACTGAGTGGATCATCTTGATATGGATCATCAGTTTGCTCGTTGGGGAAATCCATTCGGTTGGTACACGCAAATCGCTAATTATTTAAATTTTAATAAATTTGTTATAAATGAAATAAGTTTTTTTTTAAATAAAAGAATACTTATAATTACCCAGTAACAGTTTGTTGAAAATATTATAGTTTGCTCAGTAACATTTAGATAAATTTTTCCATTACAGTTTATAGTGTTTCCCTCGCCATCATTCAGTGGGAAGCTGAGAGATTTCTTTGGAGTGCTGGACAGGCTTGCCTTTATTAATTATGTCCTGGCCATCATTGGTTTCATTGTGAGGTGGACACATCGCAGCGAGACCAAGGTCATCTACTGCATCAATGCCGTCATATTTTACATCCGTGTCATGAAACTCTATACTGCAAACAGGCGGCTGGGTCCCAAGATTTACATGATAAATCGGATGGTAAGTTCAATCAATCAGCTAGAGCAATAATTTTATTTAATATCAGAATACTCTTATGTAGCACTGCTAAAATAAATCCTGTCATTACTTTTCATGGCTGTAAAAAATCCATTCTTAAAATTTCAAAATATTCTTTATTATTAATTGTGATGGTTTTTCTTTATTGAAGAACCTAAAATGTCTAGAAATTCTCAGCATTAATAGGAAATATTTATGTTGAAATTTAAAAGTGAAAAATACTGAACATTAGTCATTACCTTTTTTGTTTTAATAAACTTAATAAGGCATTAAAATGTGAGGTTTTCATACAACTTATATTAAAAAAAAAGTAAATATTTGTTAATGGGTTCTGCTCAGTTATTTAGAAAATGAAAAAAAAATTGTAGAACGTTTTAAAATCTTTTAAATGTTAAATAACTAACATTGTTTTAGAAATTAAAAATTAATATTTCATAAAAATAATTTATTTTTACATTTTTGCAAAAAAAAATTAAAACTTCTGATTTTATTTTCAGCTTCAAGAACTGGCCATGTTTGTTATGGTGTTGATGGTGTTTTTGATGGCCTACGGTGTTGCAAGCCAGGGTTTGCTGTACAAAAACAGAAGTAAAGAATGGCTCATCCTTAAGGACATTCTTTACTTTCCTTACTGGCAACTCTTTGGGGAGCTATTTCTGGAAGAGCTGGAAAGTAAGAAAACATGAAACAGAAATTCTTATACTTTTCTTGTTTTGGGGTTGTTAGTTACAATCCTAAATCTTTTCATTTTACTAGTGCTTATCACAATACTGGGGTTTATAAAAAAACCTAGTGCTTATCACAATTATAGTGCTTGTTACAATAGGTCAACAAAATTTTACAATAAGATTTGAAAATTTTATCTGGCAACAAAAAAAAACTACAAGTTCAGGGGTGGCCGGAAAGAACCGCAACGGAAAAAAGCGCAACGGAAAAAAGCGCAAAACAAAAAGCGCAACGGAAAAAAGCGCACACGGAAAAAAGCGCAAAGAGAAAAAAGCGCACACAGAAAAAAGCGCAAAGAGAAAAAAGCGTAAAGAGAAAAAAGCGCACACAGAAAAAAGCGCAAAGAGAAAAAAGCGCAAACGGAAAAAAGCGCAAAGAGAAAAAAGCGCACACGGAAAAAAGCGCAAAGAGAAAAAAGCGCACACAGAAAAAAGCGCAAAGAGAAAAAAGCGCACACAGAAAAAAGCGCAAAGAGAAAAAAGCGCAAACGGAAAAAAGCGCAAAGAGAAAAAAGCGCACACGGAAAAAAGCGCAAACGGAAAAAAGCGCAAACGGAAAAAAGCGCAAACAGAAAAAAGCGCAAACGGAAAAAAGCGCAAAGAGAAAAAAGCGCACACAGAAAAAAGCGCAAACAGAAAAAAGCGCAAACGGAAAAAAGCGCACACAGAAAAAAGCGCAAACGGAAAAAAACGCAAACTGAAAAAAGCGCAACGACAAAAAGCGCAACGGAAAAAAGCGAAAAAAAGGAAAAAAAAACGCAAACAGAAAAAAGCACACACAGAAAACTGCACACCGAAAAATGCACAAAGAGCCATTTTCGCACAAAGACCTATAAGGACTAGATGACACATTTATACATGATTGTTAGGGCTGCTGTGAGAGTGTTGTGTTTGACCTGACGCGATATTCTACCACTTAAAGCATACCACTACCATGTGCATTCACATCACCACGATACAGGCGATAATCGCTTGACACAACGTCTATTTTTTTCTTGTTCACTATTTATTCAACGACTATTCTCGAATAAATAAACATAAAACTATCCTTTATATTGGCATTACACGGAGTATCTCGTACATGCTCCCTAGTCCCAAGCTTGCATTCTATAACAACCCGTTTCTATCGCAAAACTTCACTCTCTTTCTTCCGAGTCATCAAACATGCATTCGCTATATCTCTCGCACCAACATTCATTCGCACAAAAATACCCTGATAAAACACACATCATAATCATAACATTTTTGTAACATTTAAGCTGAGAATGAATATTATTTGTGAATACTAAAAACACTAACTCTGTAGACTACACTAAGTATATAGTAAGAAAAGTAGGTCATGTATGATGTGTATATACTAGGCCTCACCAAAAAGAGAATGGAAAAACAGCCGTGTATTCTAAAAGAATTGTAACACAAACAATGGAATGAAAGCGTTTTCTTCTGTCAGTATGAACACTAAACATGTATTCAAATCTGGCGCGCGGAAAAAGAAAAGTATGGGCGACGGTCGTTAGTTTCGTAAACTGCACGAGATATCATTTTTTTAATGAAAATTCATTGACATATGTTACATCTTTTGCGACAGCCTTAATTAGTGCGTTGGGCTTGTATGAAAACTCACTTCGAACTAAATCAATTACATGCTACTTATTTTAACATGACAAGGTAAGCGTCACCCAACTGTTGTGATGTGAGGTGAGGACAGGGTCAACAATTAACCAACACGAAGTCTGTATACAATTAACGTCTTTATTGTTTGAAAGTACGAACGAGACATAGACTGCCTATTAGAGAATGGACCCCCAAACTTTCCTAACCCCACCTTTTATTCCCTACCTAACCTCTAAGTTTTCTGCGCTTTATGTCACTTCCATACCAATCATTTCTATGCTACACAATTGTTTGTACTATTTATTTGCATTCTTTAATCTCAATATAACTAAAAAAGACTATAGTTTGAAGGGTAATGAAAACATGTAAACAAATAGGACGCTACTCTAAATCTACGCAAATACTTATGTGTAACAATCCTAACACCAATCAAAGCATGTGTTGAACAGCATAATGGACAAAGAGAGATGTAGTTTTATTATAACACCAGGCTTTGACTCGGACCTACTTCAATGGTGTCTACATTGTTAAGCTGATTAACTATTTGATGTAGTGCTCTATTGGCTCAGTAGGAAATGTGCATAATCTAAAAATATAAATTCCATTTCGTTCGGGGGGGGGGGGGGGTAGACGGTAGACTCTCTTCGGGCCGAGACCCCCCCCCCCCCCCCCCAACCCCGAACTGATGTCTGGATAAAACTCTCTTCTACGCAAACACCCAACCACCCAATTACCCACACACACATCTTCCCACACACCACCAAAAAATCTACCTACCCACGAACCCACCAACTAACCCACCTACCTACCCGTATATATATATAAATATATATATATATATATATATATATATATATATATATATATATATATATATATATATATATATTGGGTAGGTAAGTAGATAGGTAGGTACGTAGGTAGGTAGGTAGGTAGGTAGGTAGGTAGGTAGGTAGGTAGGTAGGTAGGTAGGTAGATATAGGTACATCATGATGAAATAATATTAAATACATAATGATTATGATGTGTGTTTTATCAGGGTATTTTTGTGCGAATGAATGTTGGTGCGAGAGATATAGCGAATGCATGTTTGATGACTCGGAAGAAAGAGAGTGAAGTTTTGCGATAGAAATGGGTTGTTATAGAATGCAAGCTTGGGACTAGGGAGCATGAACGAGATACTCCGTGTAATGCCAATATAAAGGATAGTTTTATGTTTATTTATTCGAGAATAGTCGTTGAATAAATAGTGAACAAGAAAAAAATAGACGTTGTGTCAAGCGATTATCGCCTGTATCGTGGTGATGTGAATGCACATGGTAGTGGTATGCTTTAAGTGGTAGTATATCGCGTCAGGTCAAACACAACACTCTCACAGCAGCCCTAACAATCATGTATAAATGTGTCATCTAGTCCTTATAGGTCTTTGTGCGAAAATGGCTCTTTGTGCATTTTTCGGTGTGCACAGTTTTCTGTGTGTGCTTTTTTCTGTTTGCGTTTTTTTCCTTTTTTTGCGTTTTTTTTTCCTTTTTGTGCGCTTTTCTCCGTTGCGCTTTTTGTCGTTGCGCTTTTTTCAGTTTGCGTTTTTTTCCGTTTGCGCTTTTTTCTGTGTGCGCTTTTTTCCGTTTGCGCTTTTTTCTGTTTGCGCTTTTTTCTGTGTGCGCTTTTTTCTCTTTGCGCTTTTTTCCGTTTGCGCTTTTTTCCGTTTGCGCTTTTTTCCGTTTGCGCTTTTTTCCGTGTGCGCTTTTTTCTCTTTGCGCTTTTTTCCGTTTGCGCTTTTTTCTCTTTGCGCTTTTTTCTGTGTGCGCTTTTTTCTCTTTGCGCTTTTTTCTGTGTGCGCTTTTTTCTCTTTGCGCTTTTTTCCGTGTGCGCTTTTTTCTCTTTGCGCTTTTTTCCGTTTGCGCTTTTTTCTCTTTGCGCTTTTTTCTCTTTGCGCTTTTTTCTGTTTGCGCTTTTTTCTCTTTGCGCTTTTTTCTGTGTGCGCTTTTTTCTCTTTGCGCTTTTTTCCGTGTGCGCTTTTTTCCGTTGCGCTTTTTGTTTTGCGCTTTTTTCCGTTGCGCTTTTTTCCGTTGCGGTTCTTTCTGGGAACCAAGTTCAGGACAAAATAACAAAGTTTTATCTGGCAATAAAACAAATTACAAGTGATGAACAAAATAACAGTTTTATCTGGCAAGTTATAATTTTGGGCCAAAAACTTTAATTCAAAAGCTATAAATATTCTAGATGTTTGACTAATTGAACTCCATAAAACCCTTTTTCAGCTGATGGAGCTTGTACATCCAGCCTTAAAGCTTCTCACAACTTCACTGCCCTGCCTGATGAGTTCAACACTTGTCGCACTTATCACTGGCTGGTTCCCTTGCTGCTGGCCCTCTACTTGCTCATAGGAAATGTCCTTCTGCTCAATCTGCTCATTGCCATTTTTAGGTACAAACAATAAAAAATCTGGAAGCTCAATTTTAAAAATTAAAATTTTTTTTTTCATGAAAAACAATTATACCAATCATATGTATTACTTTTTAATATGTGGTTAAAGTTATATACGTTATTTCTGTACCACAAACTTATAAGATGACATAATTCTTTAAGATAAGTAATAAATATATAGTTCGTTAGAGTTTAAGTTGATTTGTTTATTATGCGAGATGCTATTGTTAGATGTAACAGACTTGTGTTAATACAAAATTATAGAACCTTATGTAGCATTTTATTAGAATTTCTACACCCATCTCTTGTTTGTTTTTCAGCCACGTGTTTGACACTGTAGAGAAAAATGCTATCGACATTTGGAAGTTTCAGATGTACTCTCTTGTGATGGAGTTTAAAAACAGACCTCTCTTATTCCCACCCCTTAGTATTCTGTCTGACATATCTACTTTCTTTCAATGGGTCTACAAGAAAATTTCTGCTAAAAAAAGAATGAAAAGTTAGTAAAATCAATATACTACTTATCTCTTCAATTTAAATAAGCAGCATCAGTTATTTAACCCTGGTAATAATTTTTCCGATGAGTCAACTTTTTAAAATTAAAAAGAATTAATTTAATTAATGTAATTAATTAAAAAAATAAGTTAATTTAATTTTTTCTATACTGATTGGTATGAATAAAATTGATAATTATTATGTTATAGCCTACTCATCTTCTTTTGTCTTTGTGTAAAAATGTAATGCAAACTATGTTTTGATATAAATACTCCTCCCATATTTGATGCCTATTTCCAACATAAATCTCCCAATAGCTGAGCTGTACCAGAAGCATCAGTTGGAGTTTCTTTCATTCTTTGAGAAGGAGATGATGGCCAACAAGATGAGAACCATCAAAGAAAATGACATGCAGTCAGTGGACACGAAGTTCCGAATTTTACAAACCAGGTACAGTAAAAAAACATTTTCAGAGCTGCTGGCTTTTTAAAAACAAAATTCCATTTTATACAAACATTTTAGAACATATGTTTTTCAAAACATTCAGATATATAAGTTGATTTAATTACATTTTTTGATATTTCAATTTATGTTTGAAATAATTTTATACACATAAAGCACCAAACTTTAGATTTTCTTTTGTTGATAAACCAAGTTCTTTAATGTAAGGATAGTTGATAACTATCAAATAAAAATTAAACAGCAATTTATTAAGCTTGCTGTAAGCTTGTTTACATTTATAATGAGAATAAGTTTAAATGTTCAGCTCATGTTTTTATGATTTTGATCTGTATAATTGACAGGATGGTATGAGATTTAGTTTAAATGTTCAGCTTATGTTTTTATGATTGTGATCTGTATAATTCACAAGATGGTATGAGATTTAGTTTGAATGTGTAGGTTATGTTTTTATGATTGTGATCTGTATAATTCACAGGATGGTATGAGATTTAGTTTAAATTTGTAGCTCATGTTTTATGAATGTGATATGTATAATTCACAGGATGGTATGAGATTTAGTTTAAATGTTCAGCTCATGTTTTTATGATTGTGATTTGTATAATTGACAGGATGGATGAACTGAGGCAGGTGATAGAGGATGATCTCATGACTGAGCAGCAGTACATGATGCAGGTGTTTGATGCTGACCCTAAAGCAATAACCAAAGTTCAGGTAGAAGAGAGTAACCCAGGTGTGAACACCACTGCTCAGGTTAGACAAATCAGTTTTTTTTTAATTGGGGGAGACTTTCGATCATAAGTTTAAAACAGAAGTTTAGCTAACGAATAAATGAAATTTTGACTTTCATTTTCTTTTTTATTAACTTTAGCAAAATTGAACATTTAAAATAGGAAAAATCAAAGTCTTTAGATCTACATTGTTTTTCCTTTTCTTTTAAGCTTAATACTCTAATTTAATAATTTGACAAATTTATGTTGCATTGTATTAATTAATTTATACAACTAATAATCATGTAACTGTTTCATGACTCTAGGATTCTTCTGAGCCAAGAAGAAAACACAAACACAAGAAGAAAAAAAAGAAGAAGGACAAGGACATGCCAGTTGTAGAAGAGGTGAAGGATGAAAGTTCACCTGATGACATCGTCACTGACAAAAAGGTCAAGGTCATACCTGAGGTTGACCTGACAGACTTTGACATGCCCAGGATACAAGCAGTTGCCTCCCCTAAAGTAGTACTCAGCCCCACCACCTCCAAGAGGTTCAACTATTCTGAGATAGATTCCGAGGAGGAGATTCCGCTAGAAATTTACTCTCCTCGTGTACCTAAAATTAGCCTGAGACCGTCCATAAGCTCCATAGACTCGCACATCATAGACAACACCCCAGGGGCTTCGTATCAACAGGTGACACAACGAAAATCCCGGCAACAGTTTTCATAATACCTGGTCGAATACATACTTCAATAGGTAGGTCATAGTTAAATAAATACTTGAACATTTCAGTGTAAAAGAGGCACTAACTTTTATACCAACTTGTTAAATAAATACATGAAGATTTGGGTTAAATTTCTCACCCACATGGTAGATTTAGTCTTCTATAAAACATTCTGTTCTGTCTTTGTTAGTTTTGTAAAATGAGTTAAATAAACAATCTGCCTGCTAATACATTTAACATTTGCTATGAGAAATAAACCGGGAGTGATCTCCCCTAAACTTTCTCGAATATTCTAATATAACACTACGTGGGATGGCAACTCGGAATATAGACATAATTTTTGTTTACTTAAACTTTTAAAATAGAATAAAATCTAGAAGAAAAATGAATTGCGCACCAAGCGAACGCCAAAACAAAATATGCATAATAGTGCGCAGTATTATTAGTACTTTATAAATTTACATGCGTTTTTGAGAAATCGAAAATTGCATAAATTAGTCGACGGAAATTACTCAAAATTTGATAGAAGGTAGAGAATTAGATCTTTTACTTACATATGAAATTTCATTTATCTATCTGAAATAGTACTCAAGTTATGGGCTTTTGAAAAATTCAAAGTAGAAAAAGTACCACTTCCAGTTATCGGAAATCGCTCAAAAGTTGATACGGATCTACGATTTTGATAAAATACCTATATATGAAATTTTATCAACCTAGCTGTAACGGTACTCAAGTTATCGTGTTTACACACAGACACACACAAAGACAGACAGACATACGGACAAGATTGCAAAGTTATGTTTTTCCGTATCAGTGAGGTGTAAAACGTCGAGATTTGTAAAAATCTCCATTTTTTTTTTTTGCACGATTACAAGACTTTCTCTATACTTCGTATATGCGAGAAAGTAAAAAACTCAACATTCTTATGAATATAAAATATGAGCAGTGTCAAATATCAACTATAGACCAAAAACCCCAAAGTTTTTGAAAATGTTTCTTCTGGTTTAGCCAGGGCATTAATATACATGTTTTTTGTTCATTATTAATGTTAATACCTTTGTTTACTATACTGTTGTTTTACATAATATTGTTTAATATACTATTGTTTTATGTTCTATTGTTTTATGTACAATTTTGTTTAATGTACTATTGTTTTATGTACTATTGTTTAATATACTATTGAATTATGTACTATTCTTTAATATACTATTGTTTTAAGTACTATTCTTTAATATACTATTGTTTTATGTACTTTTGTTTAATATACTATTGTTTTATGCACTATTCTTTAATATACTACTGTTTTATGTGCTATTGTTGTATGTTGTTTTTATTGTTTTATTTTTGGTAATTGCTGTATATATATATTAGGAAATTATTTTGTGAGCTGTTGAAAAATCAAAAGTGAATTATCCTTTAAATCCATATAATTTATTTGCAGTTGATGTACATCTTTTAATTTACTCAACTAGCTACACTTTAAAAGATTATAATAGAAATAAAAGAATATTTTTTAATTTAGAAAATTTCTATTGTAATTTAATTTTAAGGTGAAATTTTTATAACTATTTCTACACTTGTATAACCCAGTGATTACTTTTTTCTTTTCTCTTGTTATCACAATCAAATAATTCACTTGTTGATGTCTGTTTCTATAGCAACTACATATAAGTTGTATGCAGCTAAGATTGATATTTTTATTTATGTAACTCATAATCCATCCCATACAGATCTCATTCTGTCACTCTGGTTTTTAATTAATTAATGAATTTCAATTACCTTTGCTATAGCCTGTGATACGAAATGATAATTTTTAAGTTTACTTATGTACACATATAGTGACTTCTGATTTAACTCTGTATCTATACAATGGAGTTTTAAATTATAAGATTGCTCAACACTTTTATATTTGTTGTTTATTAGGTTATAAAATACTTGATGCTGCTGATTTGACTGCTCAAGGAACATCTTTGTAACAGATATACATAAAATATTATTAATGACGCAATATGTATATTTATTTTACATTTGAAGATATCATGAAGATATTGTTGATGAATATTCACTGTATTTGTGAATAGATTTGTTTTCAAAATGTCTTTATTCTAAGTGACTTGTATTTTATTATTTATATGAGGGTATTTAAAAATACCTAATTGTTGCAAAATGTAAAATATAAAGTTATAACATAAAATTGTCATCAATATTATTACTGACAAGTTAAAACCTTGTTATAAATCACGACATGTGTAAAATATAAAGTAATGTTTGTCATCAACACACATGATATTGATATAAAACATCAGCTAATGTTAATCACTGACCCACATCAACTATTTTTTATTTTGTAAATCCTTATGTGTGTAATGATTTAGTAGTCTCCCCTTGCACATTAAACTAGATTGATGTATAGTTAACACCTTATCTCTGAGAGCTGGATTAAATGAAGCTTCTACAAGATTTGTTTTTGTTTTAACCTGAAAGATATACCAAAAAATAAAGATCTCTTTATCTGGCTTACAAGATGTTTGTTGTTAATTGTTACATCTATAACAATATCTGGTTGACTTGCTAGTTGGTGTTCATTGTTTCACCTATAACAATATATGGTTGACTTGCCAGTTGGTGTTCATTGTTACACCTATAACAATAACTGGTTGACTTGCTAGTTGGTGTTCATTGTTACACCTATAAAAATATCTGGTTGACTTGCTAGTTGGTGTTCATTGTTACACCTATAACAATATATGGTTGACTTGCTAGTTGGTGTTCATTGTTACACCTATAACAATATATGGTTGACTTGCTAGTTGGTGTTCATTGTTACACCTATAACAATATATGGTTGACTTGCTAGTTGGTGTTCATTGTTACACCTATAACAATATATGGTTGACTTGCTAGTTGGTGTTCATTGTTATATCTATAACAATATCTGGTTGACTTGCTAGTTGGTGTTCATTGTTACACCTATAACAATATCTGGTTGACTTGTTAGTTGGTGTTCATTGTTACACCTATAACAATATGTGATTGACTTTATGGGCTACATTAGTGCTGAGATGAGTTTGTGTGACTTTCAGCTACTTACCTCAGTAATGAAGATGTAGATATATATTGTTGCCAATGGGTATCCACTGTGACATAAGCAAACGTTTGTAATATATATAAATATATATATATATATATATATATATATATATATATATATATATATATATAATGTATATATATATATGTATATATATATAATGTATATATATATATATATGTATATATCTTTTATATGCATTATATGTATTATAAACATATGCATTATACATATTATATGTATATGTATGCATATATATGTACACACACACACATATATATATATATATATATATATATATATATATATATATATATATATATATATATATATATATATATATATATACATATACTTAAACGTATGGTTTTATATAATTGTAATTTCTAAACCTAAAAGGAAAACTAGCGATATCTGTCATCAATAACATAAAGTTAACAAGAAAAATATCTCCCCCTCCCTTCCTGGTGACGAAAATTATTACTCGTGTGACCTTGTGGTTGCAGCCGATTTTTTTCAAGGCCTGTAACCCATATGGCCATATGATTGCAATTGTTTTCGTACAAGGCCAATAATCCTTGTGGCTATATAATTGTAATAGATTTCCTCCCAGGCCAATAACCCATGTGGCCATATGATGTAATGATTTCTTATAAAGACCCAGTATTTGCAGATCGCAAAAAAATGTCTCAAATTAGAGCTGCACTGACATTTTTTAGCTTTAACACTAATGAAGGCTGATGTAAAGCAGATGAGAGGGAATGCAGGCCTACACGTCGATGCCGTTTTTTCCCCTCGTTGCTTGTTTTATTCCGTTGTGATGGAGCGGTTTCTAATTTTTAATAAACTGGCAGAACTGATACGATAGCTAAAAAAATAATCTCCTTAAATCGTAATTTTTTTACTACATTAAAAAAAGAACAAAGGGGGATAACGTTTGCATCTTAGCATTAAATTTTCTACTGATCTCCTCTCAAAGATATTGTTAGATCGTTTTCAGCAGATAAGAAAGTTCTCTGACAATTTCCAAGTTTTTCGATCACCTTTGAAGGATGTATCTGACTTGGGATTCGTTTGTTCTAATACTTATTCCTGTAACCAAACCGATGTGTCAACAACCTGATTGTTAGAGGAAGAGTTTAGAGTTGTCACCCGTCGAACAAAAAACGGTTTTGTTACTATTTTTATCCCAGAATTTCAAGGAACCTTGAAACTTGAAATCTCTCACTCACTCGCTAAGACAAAAATATCTCATAATTTACGCTTCTATTTGTTAGAGTGCATCAAAATATTTTAACCTGATTTTTTGTTAGTCATCACATGAAGACATCCAGAATTACAATGTTGTTAATGAATTATTTTTTTTTGCTTTTGATTATTTAAAAAAAAAAGAATATTTTTTTACTTCTTTTAGCTTGTTTAGTTTTTATTAGTAATGCACAAAACCTATTTTTGGAATGCTAAAAGCTTAGTTTTTTTTTTGTTCTAATACTTAGTCTATACCCAAACGATGTTCATTTTTATTTTTTTTACAAATTACTAAAATTGTTTCTTAACGAAATAACACGCTTCGTGTTACACGTAAAGGACTATATTTTATGTGTGCTTCTACTATGACATAATTTATACAGGCAGTAACATGTTATTTAAAGTTGGACCAAGGCAGTAATATGTTATATAAAGTTGGACATTATATAAAGTAGGACTAGGGCAGTAGCATGTTTATAAAGTTGGACTAAGGCAGTTACATGTTATATAGTTAGACCAAGGCAGTAACGTGTTATTTAAAGTTGGACCAAGGCAGTAAGATGTTATATAAAGTTGGACATTATATAAAGTAGGACTAGGGCAGTAGCATGTTTATAAAGTTGGACTAAGGCAGTTACATGTTATATAGTTAGACCAAGGCAGTAGCATGTTTATAAAGTTGGACTAAGGCTGTTACATGTTATATAGTTAGACCAAGGCAGTAACGTTATATAAAGTTGGACTAAGGCTGTTACATGTTATATAGTTAGACCAAGGCAGTAACGTTCTATAAAGTTGGACTAAGGCAGTTACATGTTATATAGTTAGACCAAGGCAGTAACGTTCTATAAAGTTGGACTAAGGCAGTTACATGTTATATAGTTAGACCAAGGCAGTAACGTTATATAAAGTTGGACTAAGGCAGTTACATGTTATATAGTTAGACCAAGGCAGTAACGTTATATACAGTTGGACTCTGCCTCTACAACAAACAAACCTCCCGAAGGAGGAGACAGAGAAAGCCTACAAGTGTGAAGACGCCCAAGGTTTCCTAGTGTGCTGTTGTAGTTAAGCTCTTTACCCAGCGGCCGGCGTGACCCACAGAAGACGCACAAAAAGTCAGTCAACAGCTAGGGGCACCGAGTTTCAGGCAAGATTCGAAAGTACAACTTTGGACCAGACGGTAAGTAGTCCAATGAACACATGTCAGCTCGTCAGAACAAGGACCAAAAGTACTGTTGTTTTGTACAAGTCGCAAGGGGCTTCTTCAAAAGTGCTCGTATTGAGTCGGCGTGGTCAAGCTTTCTATCAAAAGTCAAAACGTGTTAATCCGATTTATTGGTCAGGTTTGTAAATTATTTTTAGGCTTTTGTGAGTGATGGGCGGTGTTTGGTGTTACAGAATGGTGAAGATTTTATTGTTATTATTTATTGTTGCAATTCGGAGATACATGTTCTATGTTCGTTGATACATACTGAAAGTTGCTTGATATATGTTGCTGGCTTGTTGATACATACTGAAAGTTGATTGATATATGTTACAGGCTCTTTAATAAATAATGAAAGCTGATTGATATATGTTACTGGCTTGTTGATACATCGCTTAGATACTTAGATCTCCTCATACATATTGGTGTGTGTGTGTGTGCGCGCGCATGCGTGTCTGTGTGTGCATGCGTGTGTATGTGTGTGTGTGTGTCCTCCTCGAGTGTCTGCTGAAAGTCTGTTTTCTGTATACCATATAAACGATTCTGTATAACTATAGTTATCCTTTTATAACAACTTTACTACATGAGGTGTTAATTGAATCTAGCAATTGTACACATCGTATGACGTGGCAATAGATGACACGATATGACATTAGAGTTGAAACCATATGGCGTTAGGTAGATGCCTCCACAAATCACTAAATGACCCCCACATATCACTAAATGACTACCCATAGCACTAAATGACCCCACATATCACTAAATGACTACCCATAGCACTAAATGACCCCACATATCACTAAAGGACTACCCATAGCACTAAACGACCTCACATAGCACTAAACGACCCCACATAGCACTAAATGACCCCACATAGCACTAAATGACCCCTTGATCCTGACAGACCCCACCAGCCCAGCTCCCCATTGAAGGGGTCACCAGTTTGTGAATTATGTAAATGATGTGAGTGCCTCCTATCGTAATTACATTATTCACGACCACTTTTATAAACTTTCGCCTTTTTTTAAAGGGAGAAAAAAAAATCAATGTTCGAGTTTTCTCCCTTTATTTTTCGTGTTGAATGGGGCCGCCCACCAGACGCTGAGGCCTGTCAAACCACGTGACAACTGGCCCACGGGCAGGGTAACATTAGGAGGTTCGCTTTCCGCTACTGCCAACATTTCTTTTTGATACCCTAAAAATGGCGAAACTCTGGGGATTACTCAACTTCCGGTAGACATCGTCTGCGCAACACGTACGACGCAATGCGGCAGTTATGCATATCTCATTCCCCTCAAGACATCTTTATCTTTAAGCTTAAAATGAGTTTATGAGAAGGTAAAGAAATATCCGTTCTGATTCGTACATTACCCTCATATTTAAAGTAAAATACACGGGGAAATGGAGATGAAATAATTAATCCTCCCGCCTCCCCCAACCCCCCCCCCCCTTCCAGAGTTTCTTTCAGGCATATCCCCCCCCCCCCCCTTCCCCCCGGAAGAAATAAATTATAATCTAAATAGTTAATATACAGACCTACCATAGCTAGTTTCCGACCCCTCTCCGGAAGTTTTAAGTGCGCCTCTCCCCCACCAGAAGTTTCAAAATGTCAGGAAAAAAACCCTCCAAGCCTTGCCCACCAGTAAGCCGACATTTTAATAGAACAATTTTTTTTTTTAAATTTATTAAATAAGACGTAAAAATCCCTTAATCAGATTTTGAAATATTACATAACCAGAGAAAGAAAAAAAATACGTTAGTCATTATTGATTAGATTTCATATAAAATAGTTGTAACGATTGTTACATTCCGTCTTGGAGGTTAGCAGAGAAATAGTTGAGAACCTCTAGGTTAGAGACTCTGTGAGTTGTGTTAAGCCCCATGTTGTGTTTTTTTCCCTTTAGGCCGAAACTGGGCATACAAGAAAATATTTCCAGGCAGTTTTCTTTTAGAGGTCTAGATGGGCAGAAG